AAGGGCATTTCTTTTTTTTAAAAAAAGTTAATATTCCTTTTAGAAACAGTATACTACCTCTTTAATCATTAAATCCTTATATATTTTCTTGTGACTCAATACAACTGTTGCTGTAGACTGTTTTCTAAATGTAATTTAAACCTCAATGACGAAGTTTCCATGCTGACTCACTAAGTTGCTCTAAGACTACCATAATTAATCAGACATATCACTAATTAGTATTACTGGCTGTGTACTAACTAATTAAGTCATCAGGAGTGACAAACAGAAGCATACTTACACACAAGGAAGTGTGATATTTTTAATTTGCTTCAATTCTGTACATACTATGTTAACAGTATTGTCACAAATAGAATGAAATCCATTACATTTTTTTTTTAAGTTTCCAGTCCCATTCCCTTTAAATGTGATAATATATTTATATCTGTAGCTTTTTAAAAAAAAATTTTCTATTTTGCAATAAATATACATATTATGAAAAAAATATTATATTTGACCAATATAACTGCTAAATTTTTCAGATGCATGTATTTTGAATATAGACACAGGTTTGTATACCATATGTTGGGTGTGTTGCAATAAATTCACTGCATGTAGTTGCTAATTGTTATTATTTATATGAACTTGATTTCAAGTCACCTGCTTTACCCCTCAGGATCCAGTTTTAGCTGACAATGAAAGCTGCCCATACAAATGGAATAATGCAGTAGACTAAACAAGCAAATTCAAAGAATTGTGGCCCCCTGCTTTCGGTGTCTTAGTGGATGAGATGTCATTATCTGTGGCATATTGTGTCAAATATGATCCCTGTATCATATCATGTATCATTCAAAAGTATTCACCAATGTAGAACTTTTTGAGGTCAAACATGAAGGTCAAGGAGTCAAATAGCATAGATGCTCAGGAACATCTTGTTAAAGGTAATGCAGATGTCAAATATGAAAGCCTTATCTTTTCTCCCTCAAAAATTAGAAGGAAAAAATAACATTTTTGAAAAATAGGTCAAATTTTTTGGTCAAGGTCACAGGGTTAAAAATCATAGTAAGTGTAAAAAGGTTCTGGTAAAGGTAATATACATGTGTAATATGAAAGCTCTATCTTTTCTCTGCCAAAAGTTATCACCAATTTAAAGTAATGTTGAAGTTTTTAAAAAGTAGGTCAAGGCTACAGGGTAAAAAATTATAGCATATTTGGAAAAGTCACAGGTAATGTACATGTGAAATATAAAAGCCCTATCTCTTCTCATTCAAAATTTTCTTTTTTTCAACATGCTTAAGGATCAGTGGACCAGAGAAGCTGAAACTTATTTGGAAGCATCCTGAAGTAGTGTAGATTCTATATTGTTTGAATCATGTCCCCCTGGGGTAGGCCAGGGCCACAAAAAGGAATCCTAGTTTTACATTGAAATATATAGAAAATAATATTTTAAGAATTTTCTTCTCCAGGGCTAGAAAGACTGAAACTCATGTGAAAGCATCCTAGGGTAGTGTAGATTCTAAACAGTTCAAATCATGACCCCTGGGGGTGGGGGGCATAATGGGTACAGTAAAACGTGTTTAGTATGAACACAGATATTGCGAAGTCATTGATATAACAAAATTACCTTGGATCCCAAGCTATATACTTTTAACAAATTTTCTATACAGATATAACAAATTACGGATATAGTGAAGTAATTTCAAAGGTCCCAGTGACTTTGTTATAACCGAGTTTTGCTGTATTAAGAGGGGAAAATCTGGAGAAGAACAGCAGGGTCAATACACTCAGATGAGCATTGTAATATTTTGTAACATGAATAATTGAATTAAATTAGCAAAGGCAGGTAAGATTTATCATGTAAAGAATGTAGACTTGACATTCTTTTCCTCAGCTATTCCTACAATTGTACAACATACCACATTACTACATGTGTTACTGGGTATGGCCTCCTGTGAACTATTAAATAATTTGCATTTCACCTTTTCTTGACCATTGAATTGTAATAGTGGGACAGACAAACAACTAAGATGATAAAAGAAATATAAAATAAAGATAAAAAATGACCTAACTCAGACTTTATCTTGACCCATGACCTATTACTTAATTTAGAAAATCTTACATCAAAATGTACATATACCCCAGAACTTTTGTCCTTATAGGCCTTTGTACTGTCTGTTTTAAAATTTGTTGGGATTTGATTTTCTGATTGGTGAAAAGTTGAGTTGTTAATCGTAAGAAATTTGTGTATCAATACCCCTTCTAAATGTTACTTTAAACTATGTCAAACTTTTTAGACATGGAAATTACCATCTACAGTGACAAAATGCACATGAAGAATTTTTATACATTATATTTGTGATTTATAAAGGTCATTTATATTGATCTTGCTTCTAAATTCTGTTTGTGACCGGGGTGATTTACATGTTTATGAAGAAGTGACAAGGTTAGCATTGTTGCCTTCCGGCCTTTCCTTTTATTAAAAAATATTGAATAAACATAAAAAGACAGTAATTCTCCTCTCAAAAACAATAAATCCCTCATACTCAGAAAGTGACTGTCACAATGACAAATAATAATAGGAAGAAGTGCATAGACTGAATAAAAATGAAAGACATGTCCTGGATAAAAAACACAATACATGTAAGTTTTTGGAAATCTTGAATATACAACTGTACACCTATAGCACCATTTCAAATAAACACCTAGACACTGAACACTCTTTGAAAGCACCACTTTTTCACTTTTAATATGCCTTATTTTCTAATTAGTAATCAACTGTTGAAGTTCACTGTTTTCTTGATTATCTGTGCCATCCTCGAAATCTGGAACATTCTCACGAACATCAAAAGTTTCCATAGAGATGGCTGTGTCTGATTCAGTGTCTAAGAGTCTCTGAGACTCAGACTGATCTGCTTCATCAGTAGTTTTGTTTCTAGATGGCTGCTGATTCTGAAGGTTTGCCATCATTTTCTGTCTCTGTGCTTTCTTCTCATCACGGTAACATACTGCATACTCGAATGTTTCATATAACGCCATCACCAGGCAAAATATACTGGCTAACACAAGGAACTGAAAAATAAGAATATTAAGACACATTTGGCATCATTTATAAAATTTTAAAATCTAGTAATAAATATTTTTTATTGTATAAATTTTCTGTATGAAATCCGGACTCATATTTTTTTGGCACTTTTACATGATTGCATTGCAGTATCGAAAAGTAAATTGTTTTACTGCTTTGAAAGTTTGAATGTGAAAAACTTTACTTTAATCCATTTATTCAAATAAATTCCTCCATATAAAAAGTAAAATCATTTGATAAATCTATATCCAACACTCTTTTGCATTCTAATACTTTAAACAAGTTGAGGACCTATAAGTAACAGCTATTTATAGGGATACCAGAATTATACCAAATCTATAGATACATATATAACAGACATATATATTCAATTAAAAGTCATTAATTCTGGATTTGTGTTGTTTCATTACCATGCTCATTTAAATGATTTTAACCTAAGGGGTTCCCTTTATGACATAGACAAATCAGTTACTAGTACCTTCAGTAATTTTGGAGACAGAGGGTGTTTTGGGGGAGCGTCAAGGCCCGCCTTGGGGCAGGGCAGTTGGTAACTGTCATCGAGGAACCGACCATCCATTGCCTCCTCAATCCGGCTAAAAATAGAAAGAGAACAATAGGATCAAATCTCTCTTACAAGTGTGCAGCACATACTGTACAAATAAGGGATATTTAAATAGATGACTGGTCAATCATTGTATAATAAATATTATAATTATCATAGTAATAAGAATTGTATTCTCAGACTGTCTAACAATTAAGGAATTGTTAATGAATCATGACAGAGGATAGATTAATTCTATTCTGTAAATTCTATTCTGTAAACAATGTATAAAGCATTATAAGTATCAGATTGATGATTGAAATTCATCGAATTGCCTTCTACCAGGTCCTTCAGATAAGACCATAAAAACTGACGACTAAGATCCGTCACTGCTCTTGGGCTCTGAGTGCCGAGTATAGATATACATTTCCATCCTTCCACTGGCAAGTTGTGTCTCCATATGAGTGAAAAATTCTTGAGAGGGATGTTAAACAATATACAAACAAACCTTTTTCTGTCTGCAAACTGTTGCTTTGTGATCCAAGTTCCATAGAGCTTAAGTTTCCAGTTTTGTATATAACCAGCCCCATATGTCCTGGTATCTATAGGTGTAGAACAAATTGTCAGCTGATGCTTAGTAATGATCGTAATGATCAAAAGATGAGCCTAGTGTTGGCAACGAGTACCCGGTTAACCGGTTAACCGTCGAACGATTATAAAACTATTCGGTTGCTCGCATGAAAAAAAAATCTACGTAGTAAATGCATATAAAATGGTAAACATACACATTTCTCTAATTTTAGGTACCGTTAGACTAATACATGGTCGTAGTGGGTCAAATTGTTTTGATTGGTTTTTACAGTTTATATAATTAATAGCTTTGATTGCTTGGGGGTATACAACTATTGAAGGCCTGAGTTATGATTACAGGCGAGTCATTTGATAATTTAACGAGATGCCGCCTCAGACAAATTAAGCTTGAAGTGTAACTGTACGAAAGGACAGTTGATTCAAAATCTCAACAAATTAACTATCAATTACGGAATATGCAGACAATTATTTTTCTCATTGATAGCGACATATTTCGGGGCTGAAAAGGAAAGCATAAGGAAAGCAAAATTTTGTTATTACGATTGTAAGCGTGTGTCAAATTTCTTATTTTCTTCAATCTAAAATCAATATTCGCTGACAATATCGCATACGTATGTATTGTAAATATAATGTCCATATACAGTATACTTGTGTATTACATTAGTAAAGCATAAGAACTGAAGAAGCGAGTAACCGGTTACTAAAAATCGTCCGATTTGCCAACACTAGATGAGCCCCAATTAATAAAACCTAACTGAAAGAAATTTATTCAATCAAATTACCTTAATTTGCTTATTAATAAATCATGGTTTTAATTTGTATATCATCAGATTAGTTTTATTAGATTGAATTCAATAACATGTATTTATAATGAAAAATATGAAGACCAGACATACAAAAGAACTATCTACTACATTGTGGTATTTATTAGGATTTGTTAGTCACTAAGAATCTCAAACAATACCATGATCAGTAATGGTTATATTCCACACCCCTATTGGATCCTCACCCCAACATCTTACAGTGCTGAAAGCCCAGTCCTGAAACCCTTTATCTGACCTAAATGCAATAAAACACATGTTTAGATAAAATACTGAAAAATTATTTTTCTATGAGTTAAAATCATGGCTTCTTCAGACAGGGAGAGTGAATAGCTAAGAATCTAATGGAATAACTAAATACATGTAAAAAAAAAAATCTTCAAAATTCATTTTAAGAACAATTTATCAAATAAAACATGATGCCAGCATTGACATATACGTATAGTGTAGATCAAAGTTTGTTCAAATTGCACTATGCATTCAGGTTTGAATCAGATGTAGACTGGCCTTTGAAATAAAATCTATTTTGGGGACAGAATAAGTTTTTATTGGAAGATGCTAAAAAAGATCAACTTGTACCTTTAAAAAAAAAACAATTGCATGATAAATAGGTGATTACTAGTCTAAGATTCATGTGTCCCCTATTTGACAGTTTTAAACGAATTACATTCTTATACTTTTAACTTTGCTAACTTTGATAACAATTTTTGTTACGTAGTAATTAAGGAAAACAAGAGAAAAGGTCATTTTGTTATCAAATGCTTTTTCCTTTTGGTATAATGTTCTACAAAGAAATAATTTAAATATAGCTCACATAACCAGGAAGAGGATGTGTGTGTAAGATACAGATTACTCTGAATACACTTGAAACTCTTATCTAATACTATTAAATATGCACTCAAATTCAAGGACACTCGAATTCAAGGACATCTCCTCGCTAAGAATAGATTCTGAATCATTATATGGTCTTACTTGTGATAGGTATGTACTTCAAAATGAAAGAAAACATGGTCATAGTGAACATGCTCATAAATTATTCTTGCATACAGCAAAGTGATTTTCCTTCCCTGAAGTTTTAGAAAACTCTTGTGAACTTTTTAGATGCATCAAATAATGCCTTGAATTCATGAATCAACAATGTTAGTCCCTGAATCTCTGATGTAAGACAATTTTACTACAGAATGCATGTTTTATTAGTCAATCTATAATTCATAAAGTACCAAAAAAAATTCCCATTAAAATATAATGTTAGTCCCTGGCACTGACTACCTGTCTATTACCGGTACTACAAGTAAGAGCCAAATAAGTTTACCTCCATGTGCTTCTAATTCATGTAGCCCAAGGGTCAGAAATCAGAAGTCCTAGTATCATTCTAGAAATCTGGCATTCTGCTTTTTGTTATTTGTGTGTGGGTGTGGGATGGTGGGTGGGGGGTCCCTTTTTGAACCCATGGAGTATTTTGCTCACCTTTTATCTTACAGAGGACTATTTTTATATTGTGAGTACCACTAGTACTGATATATATTTTAATGATAATTAGCTCACCTGTCAGCTTCCTGAGGAGTGGCTAGTGGTTATAATATAGTGAGTACCATTTGGACAGAAAAGGACAATCTAAAGCTTAATGTTCAGCTTTCTGGTATTTTTCTACAATAAACTGGGTACCATCAAGACAAGGACAACCTATAGGGATGTGCGATTTTATCGGTATACCGGTATATCCTGATTTTTTGTTGCGTGATACGTATCGTGATACGGAGACCTAAATACCGGTCTTTAGGTACATATTATAAAGTCCAGAAATAATTCATTTATTTGTTCAATCTTTCAAATTACAATTACAGAAAATATAAAAAATGTTGTAAAAAGTGAAAAGAATGGCATTTTACCGTCCAAACATAATTGATTTTATATACATAAAAATTTCAAGAAAGTAAAATTTTGTTTTTCTACCATATTTTTTAGAAAAATAATGACTTTTCATATAAAATCATTGTAAAAACTGCTTTTAAAAATATCATGATATTATCGTGATATTGTGGGAAAAAATCGTGATATATCGTGATACGAAATTTTTGGCGATACCCATCCCTAACAACCTTTAGCTCAACTTCATGAGGAGTGACTATAAAAGAGTGTCAGTGAGTACCACATCGACACATGAGGACAATATTTAGCTCACCTGTCAGCTGCCCTTGGAGTGGCTACAATAGAGTGAGTACCACTTGGACAGGTAAGGACAATCTCCAGTTTGCCGCGACATGGATGAGTGATCGTCACAAACAACTGAATGTGCTCCAGGATAAACAGATTCAGCCCTGTGATATCTTCCTCTGTCACTACAAAATTTTAATGTAGATTTCTAATAATGTTTAGAACTACTAATATACATGTAGCAGGTATAATAGTATTTTTCTTCTGGTGCATTTCAGTACCATTGTCTTAGAATAATTCATGTTTTTGAATAGCTCAAGAACATATTGCCATTTCTTTTAATTCATACAAAAATAATTCAAATCTGGTTGTGTTGTGCCCTTTGATTGCATAGGAAAATCTGTTTACATGGCATAACCTGTACATCAAAAATGTATCAATCTGCTTATGTTGTATTTAAAATTTGAAAATTCGATGACATTATTGAAATTGAAAATGTCTTACTTTTTACATTTAGATATGATAGAAAATTCAAAATTCAATCATGGGGAATAAAAAAAAATTGTCCTAGGTATACTTGTATAACCTGGGGGGGGAACAGTTCTGTGGTTAATAAAAAATCAATTGTGCAGTTTTTATTTAACCTAGAATTTTCAGATATTGTCAGATCACCCAGGCCATTTCAGAAACCAGATCCTACATTCACAGAGGGTCAATTGTTTTAAATAGATACCGGTAATGTTGTCTGTTTTAACCAGACATAGTTGTGTTTAATATATGTAGATATAAATGATGTCTAATTTTTTTTGCCTCATTTTATATTTGCCAACTTGCAACCAGGGAGATGGGGTTGAAAGCAAAATGCAAGTGAAAAAAAAGAATGATTTTAACCTGTCCAGAAAATATTGATAGCTTAAATGAGCAAAGGAACTTGGAAAGTAAAGCATTTATGATATATTTCAATTTATCTCTGTATACTTATATTACAGTTTATATAGAAGTATGAATCTGTCCTGTTTACCTGTATGAGTGATTGTTAAAGGTTGATTGGTCCCTTTAGGAATCTGTAGATGGATTCCTTCACTGGAATACAGGTATGACGTAATCCATGGAACTGTCTCCCACACCTATAATTAAACATTTATTATGCAAGATAATGAGCTCACCAAAATATAATTCCTGTGTATATTATTATTGCTATAAGGCTAAAGATTATAATGAGCAGTAACCATGATTCAAGAAAATTTTGCCTCACTAACAGCAATGAACACTACATGAAAATCGATATTAAACATAAATCCTATCAAATGACTTTCAAAAATAGCGATAAGAAAACAATCTAATTGTAACAAAAATGATTAGAATGTGCTACATGCACATGTGCATTTACATGTTAATGTAGCGGACAGTATATATAGGGAACTTATACTGCCTCGCTAGTGAGCTAGCTTTTCCAGTGATGTGGTAGAGTCTCCCTCTATTTCAGGCAAGTTAAGCAACGAAGAGCCTGTTTAACCCTTGGATGGGTGACCACTTCACGTTACATTAACAACCAAATAAAATGGATTATTTGTATGAAGTGTATAGTTACCTTTGCTGCATTAACAAGTCTCCAGGCCTTCATGAGTCCAAAGCCATGTTTGTGACTGTGGTATAATCCAGCTTGGTTTCTCTTCCATTCTGAGTGATCTACATCCACCTATGACCAATAAAACATGTTTCATGTCACACAAAATAAGCTTCTTCATTTCATCCTTTCTTTAAATTGAACATCAACTAAAAGAACACACAAATCAATCTTTGTGCAGGCTCATCTTAGTCTTGCAGTTTTCATATGCACTATGCACATATATTCATCTTAAATTTAAAATACAAAGTAATTAATGTTAATCCATTTAAAAGAATATTTTCCATCTTAAATGCTTTAGTGTTTTAAGGACTTGTGCACTGACTTTCTGAGCCGTCATTATGATGAGGTACTGTATATCTCTCCAGGTCAGACAGGGGCGGGCCTGTAACATGAGAGCCAGCATCCCCGCCGCTAGCGGTGCCGCGGCGCTGGTCCCTGAGTGGGTGGTGGTACACCCTCCCCCTCCCTTCAATGTCCAGTCAGTGGTCACCTACAGGGAATGGTCAAATATCCATCTCAAGTGAGTTCAAGAAAGTCTGTCACTTTTTGTGTGTCACTTTTTGATTTACTATTCAATAAAACTTTACCAGTATCATATAGAAATTTATCTGCAGTTAATCAATTTAACAAGTTTTTTTTTAATTCCAGAAATATTTTGAGGGAATTATTTCAGATTCATAAGTCAAGGAAATTGTCAATTCATACTATGCTTCTATGATTTGAAGTTCCACTACTGAAAGTGACTGCAAGCATGGAGGCACACTTTTCAGCATAAAATGGCATGTTTCCTTCCTCATCAACCGCACCTAGGTCACAACATGGAACAAAGCTGATTTACAATGTATCAAGTAAATACTGTTCAAAGGTTTCTTTACAAACATTGAAACCAGCTGTTACATTCATATATACACAAGATTTTTTGGGGTACATTTCAAAATCAATATGCTTCGACAATTTTTAACAGCTGATTGTATAGGTTAAAACCAGAAGTGACTCACCAACAGTGACTGTATATATAGAGTTGGCATAGCCATCATAGTTACAGTTGTCTTGGAAACGACCTCCATTGCCACTAGCAACAACAAATATACTCCCAAATCCATGTCTGCCAAAGTCTATGCCATACTGCATGGCTGCCTGTTAAAAAAGAAATTTTAAATTGAAAGAAATGTTAGCAATGAAGGCTGCTTCAAGGCTTAAGAGAACACATATGCATGTGAAGTATTTTTTTGAAATTTTGTGCCAATACAAACCTTTGCCAGAACATGTGGTCCATCCACAGTTTTTCCATCATCATCTGGACCCCAGCTGTAAAATAATGAGGGACAGTGATAAAATATGAAAATAACTTGTATTTCTGAGAGTATCAACTTTGAGAACATTACTTTAGTTTTAATATGGTTGTTTCTTTCCATATTTTAAGAAGCCTCACTTTAGAATTGGGATTGTGTGTGTACTGTTACAAAAGTGTGTAAAGGGGAATAACTCTCATACATGTAGCTACAGTATATGAGAGCATTATTTTTTTGTGATTGCATAAACAGATTGGTTATATCTGGCTTAAGCCCCTACCTGCAGCTGTAAATGTCATTGATCTGTAGGTTTTTATTGAAGGCCTGACCTTCCAGACTGTCTGTCATTGGTCCATCAAGAACCTTCAGCCCTGAAACCAAGAAAAATCACCATGAATATCACAGTACATGTAGATCTACAGTTGAAGTATGGATAGGACATACAATGGATATCTACAGTTACCTGAAAACTGTGCCCTGTAAGCTACCCCCACAGCACAGTAAGAATTTGGGACTGCTGCTATTTCTCCAGCACACCGTGTTCCATGGTGGTTAGAATCTGAAAACACATAAAATTGAAAAGAAATTGCATGTCTACAGCAAAACTTGTTTAGATATTGCGAATTTACAGATATAGCGAAGTCATCTTGGATCCCTAGCTATATGAATTCTATTAATTTCTTATACGGTTATAACGAATTACGGATATAGCGAAGTAATTTCATAGGTCCCAGTGACTTCGTTATAACTGAGTTTACCTGTATATACTGACAGTACGAAATAATAATTCTTTAAAGAGTCTGTGGGATGATTCTGACCTTTTGAGGCACTTGGAGAAGGGTCAGGGTCATTTGAGTTCAGGTCCCAGCTTCCTGCACTGTTGTAATTGTCCTTGAGGTCAAGGTTATTCCATTCTACACCGTCGTCAACGACAGCCACTGTGACCCCTTGACCTGTGAGATTTCTCTCCCATACCCCTGTTACATTAATGTCCATGTCTTTCCGTTTATTGTTAATCTGTAATTTTATGAAATATAAATTAGCTGTTGATTAATTGTTTTTCAAAATTTTTGAACAGGTTGTCTTAAATTTAAAAAAAAAAAAGAAAAGAAAATATGGAGCATTGTTCAGAGTAAAATAAATACCATAGAACAAAATTTACTCCTTCAAAGTTCTGTTAATCATTTCTTGAGATTAAGAAATACAACAAATATTATGTTGTATTGTTAAAATGTATACTTCTGAAGTAAAATCATTTAAGGTGTTTGTTCTTAAAAAAGTAGATTTTACCATATACTGAGTACACTATGGTATTTCTGATATCTTACAATAACATCAAAGAAAATTTCAAACTTCCCAGTAGAATGTTATTAACGAAATATTCATTAACAGTAAACAATAATTAACATTATCAAAGGCCTGAAAAGTTCTTGCTAAATGGATCAAAGGGATTAAGATAATGGATAAATTTAATTAATTCATAAAAAATCATGACATTATTTACTTTCTTTCAAAATTAATACTTTTAACATGTAAAAAAAGTTTATTTCCATCTTCACCAGATGTTTCCTTTTAAAGATGGAGATAAAAGATTTTTCAGCAAATGGTAAGCTTTATATATATATCTTGCAGTCCAAAAACTATGTAATGTACCTATAAATAAAATGGATCAATAGAAATAAAACTTGATCATGACAAACCCATTATCTCCCTAAGGATGTATGACACATAGATATCGAAAAAGATTTCTAAAGAAACATTTACATCAACAATTTTAGTAATACTTAATAAACAGGACTCTTGGGGCATTTTTATGAATCATTATGGACAATTATTAAGAGTCTGCTACAAAAGACAAGTCTAAATGTTTCTCCTAATTCAATTGTGATCTTGGGGGAGAACATCGGTCTGAAATATGGCATTGATTTAGACCTTCATAGTGACAAATAATACATGTACTCTCTCTCTCATCCAAATAAATGTTATATTTCAATAGTTTAAAATTGTATTATGCAAGTGGTAAGTATTAGCCTAAGGATAACAATAAAGACAAAACAAAAAAAAATAAATAAATAAATCTCAAGAAAAATATACCTATACCATATATACACGCCTTGAAGTTGTCCGCCTTTATGTCAGTTGTATAATTTTTTAGGGTTATTTTCAAAGGATTTATCATTGACCTTCTTATATTAAGTTCTTGCAAGAATTAGTTGACAATTTAAAATAAAACCCTGATGTTTTATCCTGTTTTATGCATAAATTATTTTAGAATTTATAAATGACATAACATATGCAGACTGTTAAACAATAAATGAGTAGAAATTTCATTACATTTAATCATCAAGGAAAATAACAAATCTTAAATCGATGACTCACCTATTAGTTGGACATAGAGTTAATTTGGACCAACATTCAACTCAACCCTTCCCCCCTCCTTCTAATAAAAACGCCTTATAGGCAAGTATATACAGTAACTGATCAATTTTTAAAAAGGACTTATTAAAATTTAAAAATTGACTTTTTTATATCACATATACGTACAAGATGCCACTGTAATTTAAAGAATGGATCTACAAAATGAAACGGAGTTTCCCTCTTGGTTCTCCTTCGTATATTTTGCTGACTGAACCATTCCACCATAGGGTGCCTCTCCAAACAATGAGACAGGGAATCACGGATGAAGTTGAAAGACAAGTCTGGGATGTGTTGTGTATAGTGTTTATGTAAAAGCTTTGTATGAAGAGTACTGTATGATTTTAAAATGGAAGAACTATTGTCATATGTGGAATTAAAATGATGAAGCTTATCTATATCAAATCCTAATAAATATGTATCTTTTAAGATGTCTATAGTTTCAATATAAACTAATTTGCAATCATTTGTTATCTTCTGGGCAAGAGGAAAATTGGATTGTTTATTTTCTGAATTGGAAGAAAACTGGAAAACAACATGATCATGAATGTTCCTTGTATCTCCACTTTGTCTTGAAATATCCAAATTAAATATATCATGGTCCACATCCTTTATTTTCACTGCCCATATAAGGGAATGTTCTACGCTGTCAACATGCTTTGGAAATGGGATTTCTTTTGTAAATTCACAGATAATGGTTTCTAGAAGTATGTTTGATAAAACAAAAAATTGAAAAAATGATCCATGATCAACTTGCATTGTTGAACAGTCATGTCATCTGAAAAAAAAAAGATTATTAAAAATATAATTTTTTTTGCTCCACAAAATTTTAAAATTTTATTAACTACACATATGGGTTTCCCCCAGTTTTCTCCTGCAAGACATGATCAAAACCAGGAAAAGGGTTAAATTTCTACTTTTTTTTAGGAACCAAGTACCGATAACCTGTCTCATTGTTAAATGAATTTTTTATTATCACATAAACTTCTCTAGTCTTTCACCAGTAGAGCTAAAATCATCCTTCTTTCCCCTTTAAACTAGCAAATAAAAAATTCATAGTAATCATTTTGTTTTATTTATGGTTTTTTAATTTAAACTATGGTCTCTTTCACTGAACTATACTAATATTTCTTTATCAAAACGTACATAGAGAATAATACATACCCTTTTCTACATCATATCCTGTATCAGCTCGATTGAGACACCAATATCAGCCTGAGGGATGAAGGTCCGAGGGCTGATACAGGATGTGATGGTGGAAAAGGGTATATTTTATTATGTTTATTACATACTTAGTAATAAAATAAAGTACACATTAAGTTGAGAAGAAAAGTAAATACATGTACTTCTTAAATGTACACAGTCTATTGTCTCATACGGTTTGGGTTTGTTTCTACATGAACTTTTATTTCAAATGTGCCCAATCCGTAATTTGAAAATAATCCATTATGCAAAAATCCTATATTTATTACTAAGTATGTAATAAAAAAGTATATCTTAATTGTTTATGCTTAACAAAAATGACACATTTTAATATTTTAGCCAAAATTACCATGTAAACAGGATGTGATTGTAAATGTAAACACTTATTTCCCTTTTAGTTTTCTAAATTTAAGCCAAATTTTATTTAAGGTCTGAGGTCAAATTGTTGGTACCCAAGAAGAGACTTTGTAACATGCACAAGGAATACACATGTCAAATATGAACACCCTAATGTGACAATGTTTCGGCATTTTTGGCAAAGTTAAAATTTCAAAAAAGTAGGTCAAACAGTAACTTCAAGGTCATGGCCATAAAGTACAAAAATGTTGGCATCCTAAGAAAGAGCCTGTCACAAGGAATATATTTGTGAAATATGATCTACATTCAGAAGTATTATGGCCAAGTTTAAAGTTTTTCAAAAGTAGGTCAAACTCAAAGGTCAAGGTCAAAATTGTAATATTCAACTTAATATCAACCTCATTATCATCCAACTATGATTCATGCATTAATTGCTATGGTTAGCTCTGGATTGACTAGCATGGAAGATGGTTTAGAATATATAAAATCAATACTTGTAGAATTAAATTGATTATAATTTAGCATACTAAAGATTTCACATTTATAACCAACATGGAATTAATGCCCAAGTTTTCAGAAAATTTTAAGATTTGAGAGATCTTCTAAGTAAATTGTTCAATTTATTGGGGGAGGTACGTTGGAGACTCCAGGAGTCTGATCTTAATATTGTTACCTATCTTTTTTGTATCATTTTCATGATCCTATTTGGGGGTTAACCATACATAAATGTTAATATACACTTAAACACTAGAATATAAATTAAGTCTTTTCATTTACATTTAAGAAATTTCAAATAAGTCTCCGTACGTGGAATATAATAAATAAACACTCTTGCTGACTGATCAAATTAACAGTCATGAAATCTTACCTTTCTTTTTAAATTATTTTGTAATTTCCCAAATGAACAATTTATCGTAGCTGTATACTCTCTTTTTGAAGGAAAAAGCACACCAAGGTATCATTCTAAATGATTAACAGGGTAAAACCAAATGTCAAATGTATTCTATCTTGGTATATAAACATCTTAGGAAGAAACATACAAGCCAGATGTACGTGGCGTAAACTTTAACTAATTTCATTGAACATCTTTGTAAACACTCCCCCACACAGCTGTCTACATTCTGACATTGTTCTCTTTGTTGTCTTAATGATGTTCAACATCTGTTACCTATCTTATTTGTGTCATTTTCAGGTTATTTTTCAGGTTAAGCATACACACTTTTGACTTATTATACACTTGGTGATATACTCTTCATAAACTGCCATAAAAACTTGCCTGTAGGAAATGGATATAATGAAAGTGAAAGTTGATTGTTACTTATGGTCAACTCGTACGATATGTGTTTATCTGCCTCCGAGATACCGTAAAAATATTGATAATTAAATATTTCAGTGTTATTATTTTTACTGTATTTGAATAGTTTCTTTTTTGCAACATTTGCATGTTATTACTTTAAGTTCAAATATACTGATAACGCGTGCTCAACAATTCGGGAAAAGATTTTCTTCTGCTTTGGTTTCTCAAATACTCCGCCGTGCTTTTCACCTCCCCCGAATGAATAAATTGTATTTTTTAAGGAATAAGTTTGTAAATAAAGACGAAATTTATGTAAATTGTTGCTTTTGAAATTGTAAAATAAATTAGAAATTTTCTAACGAAAACTAATTGGTCATAAATGAAGCATTTAAACACTTTCTAAAGCTGCAAACCGCTTGAGACCGGAAGTGCTGTTTCAACAAAATATCGAATTTCGCTTCACTTGGGACGGCGATATTTCTGCGGCTTCTGAGAATTTTGTAAGTATTAAGATTTATTTCCATTAAAGTATTTCCTTGGCAATGAAACCTTTTCTTAAAGATTAACAATGATAGATAGTTTTCTGTGCGACTTTTTCTGTGGATGCAAACATTTCCAAATTAAAATATTGAAGGAGTGATGACTAGCCTGTAGGGCGCGGTGTTATGATAATGAACAGATGAACCTAAGCCAGTCATATCTTTTACTCAGCATTTTCTTTCATATCTGTATGCAATAGATTGCTAAAATCTCTTTCTCTTGAATTAATAACCAGCGTTTAATTGCTTTATTGTTCTTCGGTTGTTCTTGGGACATTGGTCAGGTAAAAATATTGCTGGATAGGCAGGTATTTAAAAAATTTTAGAAATGAGGCCCAGATGGGGTAATTTGTTTACTCTGTTTTCTGGTATTTAGAATTTGTGAAGTAATATTAGACAGAATTTACTTTGTACTTGTTGCATCTTTAAAGCAACAAGAAGTTGGTATGGGTAACAACAGATTCTTTTTAAACTTTTGACATAAGGCCAGGTAAAATTAATCTTTAGATTCTCATCCTAATTTGATAAAAAATTGGGGCGGGTGGGCGGATTTTATTTTTTATTTTTTATAATTGTTAATTTATATATAGGCCTAAGTATCAACAAAACAATGGACGCCCCGTACACATTTTTTTTTTCATTTTTTAATGCAGATATGAATAGATTTAATTCTTTTCATATTCTTTTAAATATTTAAAGAAAATATTTGCTTTAAAAATTAAATATTTATTGTTAATTAACAAATTATCAAGTACACATTTTACGGCACACCCTGAACAAAATGAGGTAGGGATACCAATAAATTGTGTATGCGTGACTTCTTATTTTGCAAAATCTATATAAATGTTCTAATAATCATTCTACTGAAAAATCTAGGCCTTCTCTTAAGTCTGTCTACGATGTTGTAGATTTTTTTTTTATTTCAAAGCAAAGTCACACAGCTGGAGATCGTTATATATAACTTGACTAGGTGTCATTTTCCTCGTCTATTTTTACTTAGTTACAATCTCTCTACATACTTGCTCCTGCCATTGATGGTATCTACATGTGTTTATGCTATTTTTTCTTCTCTGCCTTCTCTATACTGACAAATTATCTTTTCCTTACACATTTAAACTGCTTTTATTGCCGATTTTTCTCCATTCTTCACATGGCGTTTTTGCTATAAATAGCGACACGCGACTTTTAATACAGACGGGAGATAACTCTTAAACTTTGAACCAAATTCTTACTGAATAAAAATACATGAAAATACCCAAAAATCAAAATAAAAAACATCGGGGCGGGACATTTTGAGCGGGGCGGGCGGGGATGAGAATCTAAAGATTAACTTTATATGGCCTAATATTATAATAATGATAATCAATATTGGTGCATCATTTCGTTGATTGTAATTCTTTTGATAATTAGTACATGATATAGTCTTCTAAAACACCTTCAAAAATTACTTTTGAAAATTTGGTTTTGAATATAATGATCATTCCAGACAGTGATAATGTCCAACGTTTAACAACAAATTGTAAATATAAAACAAGCAGATATAGATAAGATTTAACATGTGTTTAACACTGATGAATATCGTGTAAAGTTAACTATCAATTGGTGATTCATCAGACTGTGAAGAACCTGAGAAACAGGTTGAGATCAAAAATGTTATTTGGACAATTAAGGTTTTGATATACATAATGTGAAGTCATGAAGCTGTGTCAATTAGAGCATAAATAAGGAGATCAAAATCAGGCAAAGAATTTTTCATAAACTAGCTGTGCTAATTACTGTAATCACATCTCCATCATTCATAAGGCTTAGTTCACTGTTTTGTTCAATTCTTAGTTTTTTTTTTATTATTTCATTATGCGACTGCAGTCAGTTGTTTTAGAGTTCTGTTTTGCCTGGGAGTGATTAGCATTCAGATCAGATCAATACTCAGTGTCTGGAATAAGTGGTTGCTATGACTACATCCTGGTGAATCATTTGTAGGCATTCTGCCACACAGCCCTTGGTTTATTGACAGCAGATTCAGCTGCTGGTGTAAAGGGGCTCCACAGGGGGTTATCTTGTAATCAGTTAAAAAACAACAGGCTGAGTTAATTATAGAGAATGTACATTGACTACATTCCATAGATTTATCATGTTAATCATTTATAATCATTTAATGTAATAGAATTCTCATCTTTCTTCTGTGTAAACTTCATTTCAATAATAGAATAACCTTTTTATTGTTTAACTTAAATTTGTAATTATCATACCAAATATGGCCTTGCAAAAAAAAAAAAAATGATGGTTATTTTGCGAAATATTCTGTCTCCTTGTGAGGTATTCATAATGGCTGAACATATTAGAACTATTTTAATGACATCATTTAAGTTAATTACTGTTTATGTATCCAATGACAAATTTTCTGTGCACTGCTTTCATTGAATGAAAATGAATAGGCCATGATTAGTTACTTTGCCAGGAGAATTGATTAAATATTTATAGCAGAGCAACCTTGAAGTGATGGTCTAAGCCAGCCTAGCTTACACAGATTTCACTTGTACACATTATTCTTAATGTGCATGTAATATATAAATAGACATAAGGAGAAAATTTCACCTCGGAGTGAAGGGTGCAGCCTCAGGATAATGGATTTTGCAAACATACACTTTACTGCAACACATTTTCTATTGATCTTTCCTGATTTTCAGTGGAGTTATCACCCAAGAAATCAGCTGAAACAAGGCTGATTGTAGATACACTCTCATTTTATACTGACATCCCCCTATGTCTGACGGACACTGAACTCTGTTTTCCCTTTCTTCTTTTTTTTAAACTCTCTGTTTTGTTCAGGATGGGAAAAATCATTATGGTGCCCAGTTTCCTAAGAATCTGTTTGTCTCTCATTCAAAACTGGATCTCATATAATGATTGATGATTAAAACATCAACAGCATCTAGGAATTTCTGTCATACACCTAACAATTGTGGATTATACCATGACAATGCCATATCTTTTAAGGACTACATAAATCTGAATTGAAGATGGAATGTTACTTTTGTCCAGTTTAGCTTTCAAACTTTTCTTGAATCTAGTAAATGATATTACAGGACAGCAGTGTTGTACTTTTTTGATATTAAATGATTTGATGATGTAAGTGGATACCAGTTGTCTCTGTGATAATTAAGCTAGCCTGATGCTGAGATGCCCATTCTTTGAGGACCATCCTGAGCTCTTTCTATTATGGTTGTGCTTGCTGTTAGTCTCCTACTTAATCTATTTTGGTATCTACTGTCTGATTCTTTACCTGTTACATGCAGTGCAGAGGGTCAGTGGTAAGTTTTAATGATCCAGTTTTATGTTGTTTTTCCTCTGTGAAATTTTTATTTCTATTGGAGTCTGTTAGTTAGGAAAAGTTTTGTAGAGGTCATTCTTTAAAAGTTTTCCAAGGAAAAGATGCATGAATACAAGTTTGTAATTGATATATAATTATGGTCTTTTGGTCTGTTCAGCTCTTTAGATGTATTCAAATCTAGTTTACTTTAGTGAGGTCAACATAGTTTTAAAAAATTTACTTAATTATAAGACTGTAGCATGACATTATTGAGATTGATTCAAGTGTTTTTGAATTCATAGAATGACAATATAAACACTGACAGCTATGTTTAGGGAAAAAAAAGTCAAGGTACAGCCATAACAGGTGACAAAAATGTTTCATGTAGAATTTAAAAGAGTAATAAATCTGTAAATGAGTTGGCTCTCTTAACAAATTGCTATCGTATTCTAGATTCTATAATCTTTTAAGATGCAAAGTTTAGTTATTGGACTATCAAAGTAGATGCATGTTACCAGGTATACCGTTTCAGTATTTTACTAATTATAGACTGAATTCAGGAGAAGAGACTGTGACACGATATGCTAGTAGACTGGTAGTTTGCCAATTTTTCTCAGAATCTCTGTGATCAATTGGTTGGAAGAATATATTTTCTAATTACAGTAGTTCTCTAAGCCTGATCAATAGTTACGGTTCAGCTTTTGATTGCTAGGTTTTGTTTTAGACATTGGATATTGTTTTTGAGGTGATAAATTTATGACTAGATTTATGAGGCATGTTCCTAAGTATTTGTTGATCATTCATTATCATTTTATGTTGATTTCCATAAGGATCAGGATTTCTGCACAGTTGCTATGATACAATTTTTTTTGACTAGAATATGGTTTATAAAAAAGAAAAACATTTCAACATTTTTCATTTTCCTTCTTCAAATCGTTAAGATTAATTATTAGCAATGATGATTTCAGTTTTAATCACTCAAACTATTATTTGCATGATGGCAACTTTTAACTGACCAAGAATTAAGTTTATAAGATAGTGTAAATGTGGCTAAGTTAGTAGTTCTCTTTGCCTACTTGACTTGCAGGTTTTTACATATTCATCTGTTACACTAATCTAACATAAATAAATGTGCCTACTTTCAATACTTACAGTTGTAGATTTTCTTATATAAATTTACCTATTGTTGCTCTAACAGTAATCGTTATTGATTTTCAGTAAGAGGAGGACAAGATGACAGAGGTCCAGCCTCGAGAGATTAAGATCCTCGAGACCGCCGAGGACATCCAGACGCGGCGAGAGGAGGTCCTCGACCGCTACTCCAACTTCAAACAGACCTGTCAGGAGAGGCGCCGCAAGCTCGAGGACTCCAGGAGGTACCAGTACTTCAAGCGAGATGCCGATGAGCTGGAGAGCTGGATTTATGAGAAGCTGCAGACCGCTTCTGATGAGAGTTACAAAGATCCCACTAATTTACAGGTATTATACAAAGACCCCACTAATTTACAGGTATAATAAAAAGACCCCACTAATTTACAGGTATAATACAAAGATCCCACCAATTTACAGGTATTATACTAAGATCCCACTAATTTAAAGGTATACTTTATGGAGAGATAAACCTGTAAATGTAATGTTAGAACTATAAATATTCTGCTTTTATTAAATCTTTTCTTGTTTTTCAGTACCATCTTACTCTGCGTTTTGGAATTTGTTATCTTTTTATCAAATGATGTTAAGGCCATATAAAATTAATCTTTAGATTCTCATCCCCGCCCGCCCCTCTCAAAATGTCCCGCCCCGATGTTTTTTATTTTGATTTTTGGGTATTTTCATGTATTTTTATTCAGTAAGAATTTTAGAGTTAGTATCTATACGTGTCGCTATTTATAGCAAAAACGCCATGTGAAGAATGGAGAAAAATCGGCAATAAAAGCAGTTTAAATGTGTAAGGAAAAGATAATTTGTCAGTATAGAGAAGACAGAGAAGAAAAAATAGCATAAACACTTATAGATACCATCACTGGCAGTAGCAAGTATGTAGAGAGATTGTTAAGTAAAAATAGACGAGGAAAATGACACCTGGTCAAGTTATATATATAACGATCTCCAGCTGTGTGACTTAGCTTTGAAATAAAAAAAAAAAATCTACAACATCGTAGACAGACTTAAGAGAAGGCTTAGATTTTTCAGTAGAATAATTATTAGAACATTTATATAGATTTTGCAAAAAAAGAAGTCACGCATACATAATTTATTGGTATCCCCACCTCATTTTGTTCAGGGTGTGCCGTATAATGTGTACTTGATGATTTGTTAATTAACAATAAATATTTAACTTTTAAAGCAAAAATTTTCTTTAAATATTCAAAAGAATATGAAAAGATCCATTTTTTTGTTTACTTAGGCCTATATATAAATTTAAAATCCGCCCACCCGCCCCAATTTTTTTGCAAATTAGGATGAGAATCTAAAGATTAATTTTACCTGGCCTAATAATCATTAATCTTTTTTTTCTTTTCAATAGGCCAAGATTCAGAAGCACCAAGCCTTTGAGGCAGAAGTGGCCGCTCATGCTAATGCTATAGTGGTGCTGGACAACACTGGGACAGAGATGATCAACCAGGAACACTTTGCCTCGGTCACCATCAGAGAACGCCTGGATGAGCTCCACAGACTGTGGGAGCTGCTGCTGTCTAAGCTGAGGGAGAAGGGGCTGAAGCTGAAGCAGGCCCTCAGGCTGGTCCAGTTCATGAGGGAGTGTGATGAGGTCATGTTCTGGATCAACGATAAAGAGGCTTTCGTGACCTCAGAGGAGTTTGGTCAGGATTTGGAACACGTGGAGGTTTTGCAGAAAAAGTTTGATGAATTCCAGAAGGTTTGTCAATTTTCTTAGCTTTAGATAACAATTTAATCATGTAAAGTACAATTTCCGGTATGTGATGATCAGGAATGAATAGATAGAACAGAAATAAGATATGGTGTTGTGTATGCAGGATTTACAAAATCATGAGGATCGTGTGACAGAAGTGAACACATTGGCAGAACAACTGATAGAAGATGAACACCCAGAGGAGGCTACCATTAGACAAAGACAGAGTGTAAGTTAAAAATTCAGTCTGATATTAAATTTTTTTTCTCTGAAATATATGCTGAAATACACTTCATGTCAAAACATTGCATAAATCTTTGAAATCAAAGCTATTTCATTAAAAAAAAGAATGACATGGCTCTACCTTGTCTTTGTAGGATGTGAATGAAGCTTGGGAGAGATTGAAGAATTTGTCTCTGTTGAGACAAGAGAGATTGTTTGGAGCTCATGAAATCCAGAGATTTAACAGGTAGGCCATTTTCTTCATAATTGGAATTAATATTCCTTGAAGATGTACAAATATATATTTATAAAGTGGGGAGGGGGGGACAGTTTATTTTTGGAGGATATAAATATTGATAAAATTACAATTCTGATACTAGGGATGCTGATGAGACCATTGCTTGGATTATGGAGAAGGACGCTATCTTGTCCACTGATGATTATGGCCGGGACTTGGCAAGTGTCCAGGCTCTGCAGAGAAAGCATGATGGAGTAGAGAGAGATCTGGCTGCTCTCGAGGAAAAGGTTTCTGTTCCATTCAATTGTTATGAAACTTAACTTAAAAACTTAGTAGTAGGAATTGTTTCTTGGTGCAAACTTTACTTGATAACTAGAAGATGATGCCTTTAAAACTTCTGAAATATCTTCAAATTAACAAGATCATTTACATGAATGTCCTGGGACTGTTTTGAAGGGTATATCTTACTTGATAGGTGCATGCTTTAAGCAAAGAAGCCGAGAGATTAGAAGACATCCATAAGGAGCAGGCCCCACAAATCAGCGCCAAGCAGACAGAAATCGTAGACAACTGGGAGAAGCTTAAGAACAAGGGAGCAGAGAGGAAGGCGCGTCTGGACGACTCGTACTACCTCCACCGATTCCTGGCGGATTTCCGTGACCTGGTGTCCTGGGTCCATGACATGAAGAACATCATCTCCGCTGACGACCTCGCCAAGGACGTGGCGGGGGCTGAAGCTCTGGTGGAGAGGCACAATGAACACAAGGTGGACAATTAATTTCATTTCCTACTACTTGCATGTATATTGCACTATTACAAAAAGTATTCAAATGAAACAAAATTCAACTGTATGTAATACAAGAGCTGCAGTATTTATCATGCTGCAGTGTTCAAGTAAAAGGATTGAATAATAAGTTAGTGTACATGTAATTCAAAAATAGAATTAAAAGAGACTTCAGATTATATTTTTGTCAGTACAAATGCTTTCAGTGTGTATGTTGAAAGATTTTTAGGTCACCTGAGTAAACTCAGGTGACCTATTGCTATCCGTTTTCGTCCGTCGTCGTCCGTCGTGCGCCGTGCGTTAACATTTGAACAAGCTTCTTTCTGCAACCACTGAACCAATTTCAACCAAATTTGGCACAAAGCATCTATGGGTGAAGGGGAACAAAAATTGTGAATTTCATGATCCCTGCCCCCCTGGGGCCTGAGGGGTGGGGCCAAAACCACTAAAATTAATGCAATCTTTAAAAATCTTCTTCTTTACTCCTGGACATCAAGCAGTCAAACTGTTTGCATGATTGTAATCAGCAATGAGTCCTCTACCAAAATTGTGAAATTCATGGCCCTGGGGTCAGGGGTTCAAGTGCTAGGGCGGGGCTCAAGTAGGTAGTGAAAATGCATTATTTCTTTGAAAATCTTCTTCTCTGCTCCTGGGTATTAAATAAACCAACTAAGTACATAGTTGTGATGAGCAAGAGTGCCTCTACCAAAATTGTGAATTTTATGGCCCAAGGGTCAGGGGTTCTGGTGTAAGGGTGGGGCTCTATTGATTATATAGTGAAAATACATGAATTCTTTGAAAATCTTCTTCTCTGCTCCTGGGTATTAAATAAACTAACTAAGTACATAGTTATAATGAGCAAGAGTGCCTCTACCAAAATTGTGAATTTTATGGCCCCAGGGTCAGGGGTTCTTGTTTTAGGGTGGGGCTCTAATAGTGAAATGCATGAATTCTTTGAACATCTTATCCTTTGCTTTTGGTTAATATACTAATGACCTAATTACATATTTAAGGCCAGGATTTATTTTATTTTCAGTTTTACAAACCCTTTGCTCAAGGTTTTGAAAGGGAAAAAAATAAAACAATTTTTTTTCTTTCCGATGTCAAATTTGAGTCGGGAGAGATTTCAAATTTATGAACTCGCACTTCCGGTTTAACATGAAACGGCGGGTAGAAAAAGCGCGATCTGAGCTTGGTTTAGTGTAAAATTCATCGAAACAAGTGCCATTCAAAACGTTTCACCCGTTCAAAGGACAAATAAAATGTTGAAGACTTTGCTGCACAATGACATGCTGGTGAGATAATTATGTATTCGTTTCAAAAGTATCTGTAAACTATTTTCCTCCCCCATGTTTCTAAACTGCCCATGGTAGCTATTGCATATTGCCAGCGACATTGTTACAGTTTAGGTCTCTGTTATAGCTTACAGTCTAAGCATCATTCTTCAAAAAAAGGTTGATTATGCATCAGATGTAATGAATAAAACTATGGGAGAAGTTAAGTCCATTTGAGGTGAAATAAACAATAACCTGAAGAAATACACAAAAAAAAAATTCAGCTATTAAAAGGCGGCAAGAATATACAAATATATACAGGCAAGTAGTATCAATTGTATCAGCCAGAAAAATTATTTTACACTTAATTGAAAAAATGTTCACCATACTTCCCAATACTCCCTGTCTGTTTTATGATAGGAATTATAATTTTAGGCATCAAGTAAATTTTAGAAAGTTGTCTACACATTCACCTAACACATATGTAAAAAATGAAGATAAATTGAAAGACTTTTAAAGAATTGATTTTTTAAAAAATATTTTAACCAACATCACAAAATTTATATAACTGGCCCAAACTGGCAGATGATGAAATAAGCAATTAAATGTTCTACTTTCCTATTTGTAAGTATTACGTGTCCAGTTGTAAGGAGCCTATTAGAATGGCATAAAAAAAGAATGCACAAATGTTTATTATTGATTTATCAAAAATTCTCATGTTCATAACTAAACCTAAACATTAAAAAAATGCTGGCCTTATAATGAAGAAAGAAGTCTCTTTCAAAATAGATAATTTCAGGGCCGCTGGGTCAGGGGAATTAAAATTAGATTAATGCTTTGAAATCTGCCCTTTGATAAGCAATGGTGCCTCCTTCAAAATTTGTGAATTTCATGGCTTTTTGATTAAAACACGAACCAAATACAATCACTGGAAAGTTGTTACATGATACTCAGGTGACCTATAAGGCCCGTGGGCCTCTTGTTGTCATTTGGTGTTAATTTCTTTTTACAGGGAGAGATTGATGCCAGAGAAGATAGCTTTAAGTCTACAGACCAGGCTGGACAAAGACTGGTCAATGCTGACCACTATGCTGCAGATGAAGTCAGAGAAAAGGCAAGTACTCGTTTGAACCAACTTTCCTTGGTGGCAACTTTCTTTTATATAAGTTATTCCAGCACACATAACTGATGATTTTCAATTGTGATTTTTAATCAAAAGATGTCTATTGTTTCTAGATGTAAAAGTGAATGCATTTATGAACTTTTGTTTAAAAAAGATCAAGAAATGAAAGAATTGAAGATAAGATGGTGTTTTGATTTTACAGTTGGTGACGCTTTCGAAGGAAAAGTCGAGCCTCCTGGAGTTGTGGGAGGAGAGGAAGATTCTGTATGAGCAGTGTATGGATCTCCAGCTCTTCTATAGAGACATGGAGCATGCCGACGCCTGGATGACCAAACAAGAGGTCAGGAGTCTCAAATGTTGATTTCTAATAGCACCAAATTGTCTGTGAAGACGTGTGTGATTAAATTATGACCCAAAGCTGAATTTACATCTTTTTTTGTGTGAGTTATCACTGATTTGTAATAAAGAGATGTCAAAAATATCTTCTTCTTTACAGGCCTTCTTAGCCAATACAGACCTTGGAGATTCCTTGGATGGGGTAGAAGCTCTGATCAAGAAACACGAGGACTTTGAGAAGTCCCTGGCAGCGCAGGAGGAAAAGATCAAGATGTTGGATGACTTTGCCACAAAACTGATTGAGAGTGAACATTATGCTTATGATGACGTCGCAGCCAAGAGAGACCAGCTGTTAGAGAGACGTAACGCTCTGTACGAGACCTCGGCCAATCGCAGACAGCTTCTGGAGGAGTCCTACAAATTCCAGACCTTTGAGCGGGACTGTGATGAAACAAAGAGCTGGATTAATGAGAAACTCAAGACAGCTTCTGATGAAAGCTATCTGGTGTGTAGATATTCATAAATATGTCATATAAATTAAAAATGCACATTTTTGCAGTGAAGGGTGTGAACTTCAAAAAATTATCTTGTACTGGTATTTTAATAGGGAATTTGTCTTGCATTGACTTGTTAATGATTGATCTTTTTTCCCTCAGGACCCCACCAATCTGCAGACTAAAGTGCAGAAGCACCAGAACTTTGAGGCAGAGTTGGAGGCCAACAGGAATCGTATAGAGACCATTCAGCAGACAGGAGAACAGCTGATAGAGGAGAAACATTACGCCTCAGAGACCATCAGGTCAGTAGATTACTACTGTAGTGTAATCAGAAACAAAATGAAATAATAAAAAAAAATAATAGAAAATCTGAACAGTTATCATTGATATACTGACCTGGTAAAGCCAAAGCTAAGATCTGACTTTTTTTTTTCATTTCAAATAACAGAGAAAGAGTTGAAGAGATTGTCAAACTGTGGAACACTTTATTGACACAGACTGATAGAAAAGGTAAGCTGTTTTTCATCATTAATCACAGTTCTATAAATACATCATTCTCAATAGTAAAAAATGGAAAAGGAAGAAAAATGAGGAAAAGATTGAATGTGCAGTATTTGAAATATAAGTTTTACCGTTGTGTAGGAAACAAGTTGAAGGAGGCTAGCCAGCAACAGCAATTTAACCGTAACATTGAGGACATTGAAGTGTGGCTGGGGGAGATCGAGGGACAGTTTATGTCAGAGGATTATGGGAAGGTGAGGACGCAGGAAAGGGGGCACTGAATGGATAGAATAGAATTAATTTTGAGTTTTAATGTAAATAACTTTGTAAAAGCCATTCTACAATATGCAGTATTAAAGTGAATTCAAGTTTTGAATGATATCAGTTTGATAAGGCCAAATAAAATTGAAATCTTGGTTCTCAGGCCCGCCCGCATCCGTTTTGAGGTAACCGCATTGCCGATTTTTTTGTATTTTTGATAAAATAAAAAGTTGGTGTTGCGGAGACCGGATTGGGAAAAAAAATTCCGACCTCATTTGTTTCGTAGTTTAGTATTCAAATATCACTTCCGGTAGTCATTTTCAATGAGATTTTGGCTACTTAGTTTGAAAATACATTCGAGGACATTACCTACGATGTTTACACGCTGTTAAGCAATGGATAGAGCAGAAATTTTGACCAGAAATGGAAAGTATATCTGTGATTAAAAAAATTAAATTCATGTTAAAGAAAATTCGGAAATTAAAATTAAAAAAATACCTCCCTCATCTACTTTATTGCCAATAAAATAAAAAATAAAAGGCATCTGTTTTGGAGAAAATTGGCCTGAGAACCAAGGAATTAAATTTAGATAGCCTAAACATTTTGCTTTCTTTGTTTCAAATTGTAGAGTGGCAGATTTATATTGCATGTTAACTTGATTAAACTTATTTCATTTCCTTACAGCATGAATTACCCATTTTGTTTGAAAAGGTCTTAAAGATAAATTTATCTAATTTTTGCATGTCATGGCAAAGTTAAAAAAATTAATTGTTAAAAAAGCGTCTAATTTACATTTTCTTAATTTTGGTTATCTCACAATGTGGTTTTTTGTGCTCGGCTTAGCCACTACATCGACATGTAAGTTACCCAGCACTGTTTACTTTGCAGTGTTTGTTCAATTGCTAGGGGGCTGTATGGGAAATTCACACCTAAAATGTTTAAGATATTAAAATATTTTGAAAGTAAAAAAATTATTTTGGATATTAAAATTAAGCGTTAAATTAAAAATAGCCTGAAATGTTTCTAATATTTGTAATCTTCCCAAAATGGAAAGTAGATTTCCCATATTATGTGTGGCCTGTCTTTGTACCTGTAGTTGTATGTTTTCTGTAATCCATGACATTCCTGTCAGTTTTGTAGTGCTTGATATTATAATCAGAATTATTAGAGATACATATATTTAGAATCACTTCATTATAATAAAGATATTATGTAACCAACAATCTTCATCATCCTTTTCATCTGATTTTCACAACAGTTACATCACCAACATTGTATTTTAACCTGCAAAATTCACTATCACCACCTTGCAGAATCATCAAGAGATGAAAAGACATAAAAATCATTCTTACAAAGCATTTCCAATAGACTTTTCAAAGAGCTTTTCTGTAGAATAAGCTATACATGTGTAAAGAAAATCCAGCTTAGTGCACTGATAGGAAGCAGAGCCTGGTTAGGAGATCAATAGATGCTCATTTTATGCTTTTCTGCAGAAAAACTGATAGAGTTGAAAAGTTTAACAGCTGGATATTTTGTAGCTTTACTCTTCATGTTTTTTTCCTGCTTTCCTGATGTGTACCCATCACTGCACACCTGAAGAAGAAATGATAGAACACATTGACAACTCTTTGTATTCAGACTTAGCTTTCAATAGCTTTACACTTAATTTTTTATAGCAGTAACAAAAGAATTTTATATAAGTACAATATTTTATTTTATAGTAAAAAAAAAAGTAATTTAACTGTGAATTCTTGTATGTACTCTACTTCACTTGTAAATATCAGATCTAATAATGTGTAATTTAACATTACATTTTGTATTGCTTCCTGTATTCTAATTATGCATATACATATATCTACAAATCTTTAACAGAATAGTTTCTTCCCAGTGTAACTGATTATTCACTCTATATTTCTACAGGATCTGACCAGTGTTCAGAATCTCCAGAAGAAACACGCCCTACTGGAGGCAGATGTGGCCGCTCATCAGGTGAGAATCGTTTGTTCTGTGTATCGGACACGTGTAACATAAAATGCTGTAAATCATTGTATTCTGTACTGTCTGCTAAATCTATCATTTATTTTTTGCCCCTGTGATGAAACTGCTTTTCACTTCTGTTAATTTACATTTTAAATGTTTATAAAGGCAATCATTGCCTGTGTTAAATTAAACTACCGGTACCTGACTTGATTATCGGTATAATTAAACAAATTGTACCTGTGAAATGTAACATTTATTTACCCCATCTGAAGATACACTAAAGAAAGGGATATAAAGTTATTGGAAACTTAGGTGAACACAAACAATGAAAACTTGTGAATAATGAAAAGTCAAGGTTCATATAGTGAATACATTTAGTCATAAAAAAAAAGTTGTGTTTGTCACTCCCTTACCTTTATTACTTAGTACTTAGTTAATGAGTTCAGATTGATCACCTTTTCTTGCAGAGTAATGGCCCTTGCACTGTAGTAAGTTCTTCCTCAAATAGAATAGCCTCCATTCATGGTGAAAAAATAATCCATCGATGGATTTGCAATCAAATAACAAACTGCATGGTGTCTCAAAAATCTTTTTGTTTGCAGAATTAAATAAAAGTTAGAAATCAACATTAGTCATTGGAAGACGTATCATGCATGGTTATAAGGTTTTTTTCCCCAAATTTAAATGACGTCAGGGACTTGCTAAGTTTCTTCCTTTTTTTAAACCAAGTTTTTTTTTTATCATTAAAATATTACTTGAAAATTTACACATTTGACATCAAAAGTTTTCAAATATTTTTATTGTGAGATGAGAATTATTTTTATGTGTATACTAATACACAATTATTTTGAACCCTTTGATTTGTTTTCCCCTATTTTGCTTTATGTCCTACATTGATGTCCATTTCAACACCATTATTTGTGGGTTTCACTAAAACTGTCACAGGCATGATATCAACAGTCATTTACTAGCAGTTTTACCTGAGAAAAACTTGAGTTGAGAAGGTTTATTAATGGGAAAAAAGAAACAAAAATAATATTAATGACATTTGTATTTTTCAGGATCGCATCGAGAGCATTGTCATTCAGGCTGACCAGTTTGTCAATTCGGGCCATTTTGATGCAGATAACATCAAAGCCAAACAGGAACAAGTTGTCCAGAGATACGATGCTCTTCAGGTGTGTAATCTAGCTTCTATATGGCATCAATTAGGAAATGCTTTATCATCAGATCATTGTAATTTGAAGCGATTTTATGTTGATGATGGAGGAAAATTGACCTAAAATGAATTTTGTAAATGGTCTGTATTATATGATGTTAGTTATACACAATTTTTATGATTGTACATGTATGCCTATTGTAGGAGCCTATGGAGGCCCGTAAACAGAAGCTGGCTGATGCCCTGAAGCTCCAGCAGTTCTTACGAGATGCTGAAGACGAGGAGGACTGGATCAGGGAGAAGGAACCCATAGCTTCCTCCACAAACAGAGGTGAGGATCCAACAATTCTCTGCCAGATTTTTCTAGACTTAAAGAAATATTTGCATAGCGACGTGTACATGTACTTTATATGAACTAAGATATTTTATTAAATGACCATTGTATAATTTTCCAAAGTGCATAAATTTTTTGTGTTTACAGAGATCAACTCGTTTGAGTATGAAAGTTAAAAATATATTTTAATATCACAGGCCGTGATCTTATTGGTGTCCAAAATCTGATGAAGAAGCATCAGGCTCTTCAGGCCGAAATTGCTGGACACGAGCCTCGTATCAGCAATGTATGTAGCCATGGCAACAAAATGATGGATGATGGACACTTCGCGACTGAGGAAATTCAGAGGAAGATTGAGGAGCTACAGGACAGGTGGCAGCAACTGAAGGTACAGAAAGACTCAACTCAAAGTTGGGAAACCAGATTTTATCTTTTAACAGAGAATACATATTAAAAATAATTCCTAATTATCTTGTTATTAAAAATGTGAATAAGGCTCACAAGCAAATTTTTAATCGTTCTTAAGAAGGAAAGCAGACAACAAATACTGTGAAAATGATATGATTACTTTCATCTACATGTACTTGAATATTATCATCACCACAAGATCGATGTATATCTACTGTTACAGTATTTGATATGATGTAAAAGATGTCACAATGATAGTAATCTTTATTAAGTTGAGGATTAAAGCTGTTGTTTAGTAAGACAGGCTACAAGTATAGGTATGGCTATAGTTGCTGATGTGTTGATTGTAGGACAAGGCCCTACAGAGGAAGCAGGACTTGGAGGACTCCCTCCAGGCCCAGCAGTACTTCGCCGACGCTAACGAAGCCGAGTCCTGGATGAAGGAGAAGGAACCCATCGCTGCTAACACTGACTACGGAAAAGATGAAGACTCGGCAGAGGTACAGCACTGGAAAAAAGAGCTTTGACTTATTTGTTCATTTACGCTTGATATGCTACATGTATGTCATATGTTGGAGAAGCTTTCCATTTTTGTAAATTTTCAATGTGCAATATCATTAATATGAAGTACATTTTGATTTAAAATTAATTAAGGATATCATTGAAACTATGGAAAAAATTTATATGTATGTGAGTTATTTCACCCCTTTCAACATTAGCTGTCATTGTCTTGATTTTTGACTGTTTTATTCAGGCCCTCTTGAAGAAACATGATGCCTTTATGTCTGACCTGGAGGCCTACAGAACTGTGATTGAAGGCCTGCAAGACCAGGCTCAAGCCTGCAAGGTAACTCTCATAGCCCAGCAGAATTTGTTCACTTAGCAAAAAAAAAAATCATAAGTTAATCTCTCAAGTGAGTAGAACCTTGTTTTGAAAAGATGTTTTATGGTTTCTTTAGCAACAAGAGGCCCCTGTTGTGGATGACCTTGGGACAGAGAAGGTCATGGCCTTGTATGACTACAGTGAGAAATCACCAAGGGAGGTCTCCATGAAGAAAGGGGATGTCCTGACCCTGCTGAACAGCACTAACAAGGTTAGTGGGTGTTGTGATTTAAGAAATAAAATGTAATACATGTTTTTGTTTTGAAAGAGGTTTATGTACATGCAGCTATGTTTTTTTTTTAGCTCTACTGGTCAGAGACCAGAAGAGCTTATGCGATAGTAATGCGTCCGGCGTCCGGCTGTCTGTCCGTCTGTCTGTCTGTAAACAATTTTTCAAAATGCTACTCCTCCTACAGTTTTGATCTGATTTTAATAAACTTGGCATATAAGTAGACTACACTAAGATACATAATTCTGTGTATTGGTTTTTGATTTCGACGAACGGTGTTGGCGTTGTTACTAAAAATAGAAATTTCTGTGAAATTCTTTCATAATGCTACTCCTCCTACAGTATTGGTCTGATTTCAATATAACTTGGCACACAAGTAGACTACACTAAGATACATAATTCTATATATCGGTTTTTGATTTCGACGAACGGTGTTGGCGTTGTTACTAAAAATAGAAATTTCTGTGAAATTCTTTCAAAATGCTACTCCTCCTACAGTTTTGGTCTGATTTCAATATAACTTGGCACACAAGTAGACTACACTAAGATACATAATTCTGTATATCGGTTTTTGATTTCGACGAACGGTGTTGGCGTTGTTACTAAAAATAGAAATTTCTGTGAAATTCTTTCAAAATGCTACTCCTCCTACAGTTTTCTTCTGATTTCAATATAACTGGACACACAAGTAGACTACACTAAGATACATAATTCTGTATATTGGTTTTTGATTTCGACGAACGGTGTTGGCGGTGTTACTAAAAATAGAAATTTCTGTGAAATTCTTTCAAAATGCTACTTCTCCTACAGTTTTGGTCTGATTTCAATATAACTTGGCACACAAGTAGACTACACTAAGATACATAATTCTGTGTATCGGTTTTTGATTTTGGTGTTGTTACTAAAAATAGAAATTCCTGTGAAATTATTTCAAAATGCTACTCCTCCTACAAATTTGGTCTGATTTCAATATAACTTGGCACACAAGTAGACTACACTAAGATACATAATTCTGTGTATTGGTTTTTGATTTGACAGTGTTGGCATTGTTACTTAAAATAGAAATTTCTGTAAAATTCTTTCAAAATGCTACTCCTCCTACAGTTTTGGTCTGATTTCAATATAACTTGGCACACCAGTAGACTACACTAAGATACATAATTTTATTTATCGGTTTTTGATTTTGACGAACGGTATTGGCGTTGTTACTAAAAAAAAGAAATTTCTGTGAAATTCTTTCAAAATGCTACTCCTCCGACAGTCTTGGTATGATTTCAATATAACTTGGCACACAAGTAGACTACACTAAGGTACATAATTCTTTATATCCATTTTTGACTTCAATGAACATCATTAACTTGGTTAATAAAAATAGCAATTTCTGTTACTCTCAAAATGCTACTTCAAATACAGTTTTAGTCTGATTATAATATAATGTGGCATGCAAGTAGACTACACTAAGAACATAAAGAGACTTATTCAAGGATCATTATTCTCTTTTTTTGCTAGTGTAAAGTTTCAATTCCCAACTGCTTAAGTACTTTCCTCTTCCTTTGCTCTAAGAACAAACCAGTAGAGCTTCAGTCTCGACAGGGACTTCTAGTTTTGGTGAAAGTATATCATTTTATGGTGAATTTTATACCTGAGAACTTGTGTTGAAAATTGTGTAATAAATGCAACATTAAAACGAAAAAAAAGTAAGACAAAATTTCTGTTAAAATATCATGAAACAAAACATGGTTTTTGAATTATGTATATTTATATAGGATTGGTGGAAGGTGGAAGTGAATGATAGACAAGGCTTTGTCCCTGCTGCCTACGTCAAAAAGCTGGATCCCAGTCTCTCTGCTAGCCGCAGTAATCTGATGGATGAATTCACCATCTCAGTACGACAAAACCAAATAGAAACACAGTAAGTCCCTTAAACTCATGTCAAGTTCTGCATGGAGCAAGTCTAGATGTACATTTTTTTGTCTGTTTTGTCTTAACTAATTGACTTGACAGGATGAGGTAACTGATATATTTGAGAATGTCAAAATTGATCAGAGTGGGAAATTCATTGGATTCTTTTCTTTTGTACAATTTCCTTATTTTAATTAATTTTATAATTTGTAAAATAGATACATGTAAATAAACATGCACTTATCTGTTTGGTCAGTTTGCTGCAACATAACTACTGTATGTTTGTGTAGTTTATTTGTTTCAGACCAATGAGGAGAATATTACTTAGTAGACCTTGTCATCATGGTCAAAATGAACATTTGATCAAAATTTTCTTGCATTATCTATGAAGTTGAGTGTTCAGTTTTCAAGCTTCCAAATAGAAATTTTGCTTCGCTAGTTTAGAATTTGAAAATCCCTGCCATTATATTTCAGAGATAAAATAGAATTGATGTAAGTTTAGTATATCAGCCTTTTATCCTTTTGAACATTTTAACTGTTTGTCACATCAATCTACCACCTTATATAGAATTTTGCCATGAAATATTTCCACTTTATACCAAGATTGTCCTTTATACAAAAGAACTCATCACTTTCATAACATTTTGACATTGAACTATCACAATATGCATATCATTGTATCATGAGTCTACTATGAAGTGCTTGTTACATCACTGTTTATGAAATGTCTTGTGAAATTCCACTTCAGAACCCATTGATTTTTTGTAACACATTTGCATCCAATTTCCTCAAGCTTTCCACTAAATTTAGCTCTGATGTAATGTCCTGCTTTTTGTGTAATGCTTTGTACATAATCTGGCCTGTTTTATGCCATTTATTACATTATATTGTTTGATTACATTTCTATTTATCTATTTATTACATTATATTGTTTATCATCAGCTGCAGTTTTCAATTGACATGTGTAAAATTGATCATGCACAAATATCCCATATTTAATTTGTAATGCTAACTTGCTTGTTCTTTTTGTTTTAAAACCTGTCTTTATTTTTTTACATTATTTTGGTCTTAAATAGTCTGCTTTAATTTTATTCAGATCATATACAGTGTACTTGTATATACAGTCGTGGCATGAATATCTTCATATTTCATCATGTTTACACATGTACATGTTCATAAGTATTTGAGTAAAAACATTTAAGAATGTCCATTTTCTTTGATCAAGACAATTTATTATTGTGTTTTTGGAAAGGAGATATACATTTCAGCACTTAAGTGCATCTCATTTGGGAGTCGGGTTTAATCGTTCAATATGTTTCATCATGTTCATGTTGCATATTGTTTCAGTGAATACTTGGAGCCATTGTAAGTTATTGTGTTGGACATTCCTTGTAAAAGACATTTCAGAGGTCATGCAGCTTGTATGTGTCTCTTGTATACAGAGTTATGAATATACTTGTACATTATCTTTCATCATTGATTTCATCAAGAATAGAAATCAATACTAATTATCTCTGTTCATTACTGTTTTCTCTGTGAACTTTTCTACAAGAGGCTGAATGTTGGAGTTTCAGTAAAATTGACAAACAAAAGTCAGTGATACTTCTATTATATAAATCTTGTCTTCTTATTGGCAAAAATCTGCTTAAGTCCCAAGGACTGAACTTTCTTCTCTAGTTTTGACTTTCAGAGGACTATCATCATGTGAACTTATTTTTCCAATGCATTAACTGTTTAACCCTGGTCTCTAGTCTTTTAAATTTTTTTTTTTGTAGCATATCAATTCTTATTCAGGATTTGCTCTTTTATACTTTTTCGTTTTTCTTTAGATCTATACAAATATTTTTTTTATGTTTCTTATCTAGCAGTATATCAGCTTTTTGCCTACCTTGTATGTGTGTACATTTGTTTTATTTATCTCTTGTAAAATTGTGAAAAAAAAATGAAAAAACATGGATATTCTATAAATAATTTTGGATGTTCCTTTTACAGGTATGCTAACCTCCTGGACCAGGGTAACCAGCGTCGTGAGAAACTGACGGAGTCCTGTAAGGCGTACCAGCTGGTGCGTGAGGCCGCAGAACTGGCCTCGTGGATCACGGAGAAAGAGAACACATTGGTGGGGGAGGAAGTCGGGGAGGATCTAGAACAGGTGGAGGAGATGCAGAAGAAATTCGACGATTTCCAGAAGGTTGGATTTTCGATAAAATTCTGCATAAAGTGACCATGTTGTGAATAATGATTTTAGATGTACATGTAATTTGAACTTATAAGAATTTTATGAAATATAAATCATGATTACAAGCTTGAAGATTACCTAAAATTTTGTTGTTTTTATTTTAGGATCTAAAGGCCAATGAGGCTCGTCTGCAGGAACTGAACTCTATTGCAGACAGACTGACTGCCATGGGAAGAACCGAGGCTGCTGAGAAGATCAGAGAACAGATTGCTGTAAAGTCTTATTATCAAACATTAAAATAAAATTAGTACAGTGTTTGCTACTCTTGAATCTTAACTATTAGGAAAAAATTATTATGTGTGAGATTGAACTATGAAGATTATTCATGAAGCACTTCCTTTTCAGACATTGAACAATAGATGGGAGAACCTTCAGGCTGTAACAGCAACAAGAGCTGAGTCCCTGGGAAGTGCTCACGAGGTCCAGAGATTCCACAGGTAACACATACAAAACAGAATTCATTTTATAACTGTATCTGGTCATGCTGACTAATTCAAGCTGTCAGTTCTCTTTGATTTGCCTTAAGTTTGATAGTGTCTTTTTTTCCGTTTTCAGAGATGTGGATGAGACTAAGGACTGGATCGATGAAAAAGATGAGACTTTGAACAGTGATAACTACGGTCATGACCTGGCCAGTGTACAGGCATTACAGCGTAAACATGATGCTCTGGAGCGTGACTTGTCGGCTCTCGGAGAGAAGGTTCGTGATTTGGACGAGTCCGCTAAGCGTTTGATGCAGACTCACCCTGATCAGGCTGAACAGATTTACGAGCACCAGAGAGACATCAACGAACAATGGAACACCCTCACACAGAAGGTTTGTCACAGCTGATTTTATTGGTTCCTCAAACTTCATGTGTTTTGTAATACTAGAAAGCATGCACCATTTTTTTTTTTTGTTGTTCAAGAAAAAAAATGAGTGTATCAAAGATAAAAATATTATTTGTATATTTTAAATGAAAATTTTATTCTCTTTTCTCTCGGAATTAGGCTGATGCCAGAAAGGCTAAACTCCTGGATAGCTATGACCTGCAAAGATTCTTAAGTGATTACAGGTGAGACTGAATTAACTCGAATAAAGATTCAAACTTCAGCATCCTCAGCATCATTTACATGTACTTTGTTTATTTTTACTGTGATAACAAGAAATGCTTTTTCTTGTACAGGGACCTGACCTCGTGGATTAACAGCATGATGACCTTGGTGTCGTCAGACGAGCTGGCTAAGGATGTGACGGGGGCCGAGGCTCTGTTAGAGAGACACCAGGTAAGTCATGCATGTCCACCGTGTGGCTTCACGTTAGCTTTACGTACTCAGTTCTTATTATTTCATTATTTGTTATGTGCTATAGCTATTGGAAACAAAAACTTAAATACTTTATTTTAATTTGTTGAAAACTATTTTGGTTTATAAAGAAGATTAAAATGTTATGGAAAGTTTAATAATTTTTAATTTTCTGGAATTAAATTTTGATTGTTTTTGTCAGTTGAAAAATAAGATGTCATTCTATATGTTATCCAGGATAAAGTTTTATTTAGATAAGTCTGTTGCTGAATTTTAGTTCTCTGCTCTGCTTTGTAGAATTTAGCTTGCTTACTTTTCTTTTGTTTGTGTGTTTGTCTGTTAAGTTAGTTTTGAGGTGATTATTTCATACTTTAGAATTCATATGAAAATATTTCTCCTGGACTTTCAACATCTTTTGGTGTGATATAACAAAAGTTGAAGTAATGATATAGTATTTCTGTAAAAGTGTGAGGACATAATATAGTATTTCTATAAATGGTGTGAGAGTGTGTCTAAAATTGATATTTTTTTGTCTGTGAACTAAAAAATATATGAAAAAATACTACTGTTGTATATAGAACATTAGGGTTTAGAATTGTTAGAGTGAGACTGATTGTAGATTGGTGAATCAAAGATGTCACCAGTAAGCCTTGTAGAATTGTCTGCCCCTGTTCTCGATATTGTCCAATGTGGTGTCTTGTTCCATGTGCAATGAAATGGCTAGTAGCAGCTTTAAAAGTATGGCTGAAATCTTTTCAGTTCAGATACTGTATATAACATTTTGGAGAAAGGAAAAAAAGAAAATTTTTTCAGCTTTTCATGTGAGCATTTCTGCTCAGGCATTGGTTTCCAAAAACACTAATACCTAGATCAGAAAATTTCCTTTAAAAAGGAAGGAAAGAAAGAAAAAACAAATCTAAATTTAGATTTAAGGGTGATCAGAACAAATGGCAAGGCTTGCTTCTGACATTACAGGCCGTTGAAATGGGCGAAATACAGAGTTACTCCCCTTTACAGATGTTTAGTTCGGAGATTGTAAGTCACTATGGCATCACTCAGCTCCCGGGCGAGGAGGAGGGGCTACCAGAGGACGAGGTGACAAACGCACGCGATTGGCTAGATCAGATGTTGTCATGGTGCACTTGAAATACCAGTGTTTGGGGTCTTATAATAGAAAGGAGATGCAAGATGTTTTAGAATTAGGGTTGAAGATAGAGAAGTAAAATAAAATTGGTATTTTGCCGGATTCACTTCTGCAAACATCCAACAAATAATTTGTTTATTGGGGAAGGCGAATTCGACACATAAAATTATAATATGTGTATTGTAATTCTCCTTTCTATTCAAACCCCATTATCCTGCATCTTGAATTTTATCAGATTGACCAAGAAGGAATGCCGGATTGCTGTAGAAGAAACTAATACGTTGAATTGTTTTTCAGAGGCTAACAGCATCCAGTGTCAAAGTGTGTGGCCTATCATTAACCTTTGTAGTAGACAATGCAGAATCTTAGATAGATTTTTTTCTCTGCCTTAAGTATTCAATGGAAAGAATAAAATATTCTGATTGTGTGATTGAATTCTAAGGTTGTGACTTTTGTTTTTGTGACTGTTATATGAAATAGTGATAAAAATGGAGTGTGATTCCCTGAAAATAACATGTATGATGTGTGAATATTAATGTGTCCCACCCAAAGTAAATATGTACCAGTCACGATGTATTTGGAATGTGCCCGTAATAAAAGTTGTTTCCATGCACACGTAATCTATTGTAAATCACCTTGCACCACATGAAATATAGTGCATAAAAGTTTCTTGAATTACACACCGTTTGAAACATAAGCAACAATTTATACTGTAATATTAATAAGCCCATTACATTAATACTAAAGTAAAAATGACAGGCTTCGGTTGGTTAATTGAGCATGTGGAGAATTAACACAAACCTGACTATAGATACATGTAGATCCTCTCTCCCTCTAAGTTCTTTTAAATTGACTTTTTCTATCCTCTACTCCCAGCATGGTTGCCTTCAAAATCAGACCTGAGCATCATGGAAAATTTTGTAAAAAAATTATAATTTTTAAAATACTGGCCATGCAGAAACTTAATTCAAATATTATCTAATAAGATAAAATACTATTGTACTATTTTCAGTTATCTGTACTCTCAGATTCGTAAGGTTTGCTAGTATTAATACATATCTGGACTTAATAAATAATTGTGTTTCTAATTTTGTTTTTTACAGTGATATTAAGACGGAGTATTTTTGTTATAATGAATGTCACAATGTGAACACAGTTTGTAATGTCTGTTGTCGTTGATAGGAACACCGGACCGAGATAGACGCTCGCTCTGGCACCTTCCAGGCCTTTGAGGTGTTTGGACAGAACCTTCTACAGAATGAGCACTATGCCAGCCCTGACGTCAGAAACAAACTAGAGGAGCTGGCTAAAGCCAGGGAAGAACTCGAACAGTAAGCAAATTAACATTTCTTAACTACAACTTACTGGCAAAGCATTTAGTTTGTACATCTGAAAGAAGGAAAAAGTAAAAATACTGATTGTACAATTATACTGTGTCAAAAAAATGTTATGTATATACCAGAACTCTTTTAAAAACACTTTCATAGCCTGTAGAACAAAACTGACTGACTTCCAAACTATCTTAAAACAATACATAACCCCTGTACATTGATGATTTTTTTCTGGCTTTTTCAGAGCGTGGATTGCCAGGAGGATGAAGTTGGACCAGTGCTTGGAGCTACAGTTGTTTTACCGTGACTGTGAGCAGGCGGAGAGCTGGATGCAGTCTCGGGAGGCCTTCCTGTCAGGTGACCAGGTCGACGGAGACAATGTGGAGTCACTGATCAAAAAACATGAGGACTTTGACAGAGCCATCAGCAGTCAGGTAATGTTGGAGATACATAGTGATAATAATTTTGTCATCAATACAAATGTTTGTGAAGAATAAAATTCACATACTTGTTACGCTATATTAAGATTGGTACATTGTGCAAAACGATATTAGCATTACTGAAATTAAAGGACATGCACAGAAATTTTGCTGATGCTTAGGTGTTTAATTTTTTTTATGTGAATTACAGCAAGAGAAGATTCAAGCTCTGCAGTCCTTTGCTGACCTCCTGATCAATGGAGAACACTATGACAGTGAAGCCATTCAGGACAAGAGAGACCAGGTGCTGGATCGCTGGGCTAAGTTGAAGGAGGCTCTGATTGATAACAGATCTAAGCTGGGAGAGGCCCAGACACTCCAACAGTTCTCCAGAGACGCTGACGAAATGGAGAACTGGCTACAGGAGAAACTCCAGATCGCCATGGATGAGTCGTACAAAGACCCAACTAACATCCAGGTATCTATCATACCTGTTCAGATCTTATAAGAAAAAAGATGAGAGATTTGTTAACATGTGCATGCATTTAAATTACTTGGCAATAAAATGGATACACTTTCTCATCATTCAGAAAATTGATCATGTTCTTTACATTTTGATTTGTATTGAAAATGTTGGTAATTCAAGTGGAGATTTTACCTATAGGGAGAATATATGTTGAAGTATTTTTATGTAAACAAGTTTCAAAGCCAGTTTAAGGGAGAACATCATTTAATTCTTTACTGTTGACTTACAGAGTAAACATCAGAAACACCAGGCTTTCGAGGCTGAACTGGCGGCTAATGCTGACCGACTACAGGCCCTGCTGGCCACCGGTCAGACCCTGATTGACCAGAAGCAGTGTGCAGGGTCAGAGGACGCTGTACAGGCCAGACTGGAGAGTCTCGCCTCCCAGTGGGAGACCCTGGTGGCCAAGTCCACAGAGAAGAGTGACAAACTGAAGGAGGCCAACCGCCAGCAGACCTACAACGCCGGCGTCAAGGACATGGAGTTCTGGCTGGGAGAGGTATGGGATTCTGGAATTGTATTGATAAAACTTTCTTTTCTTTAGGAAGTTATTTTTGCTTATCTTAAGGTAACTTACTGAAAAAATATATTTCCTTATTTGTAGGTTGAACAAATGCTTTCATCAGAGGAATATGGGAAAGACTTGGCTTCTGTTCAAAATCTGCTGAAGAAACACCAACTACTGGAGGCTGATATTGCAGCCCATGAGGTACAGTAGACTTAGGAATAATGACTCCTCAGGAATTCCTTAATTAAATTTTGAAGTTTTTTGGTTTTTAACCATGAATGATGATTGTTTAAAGGATCGTATCAAAGACCTGAACACCCAAGCAGATCAGTTTGTAGATGCCCAGGTCTGGGATGCTGAGAGTATTGAAGTCAGGAAGAGGACCATTAATGAGAGATATGACAAGTTAGTAATGATTACGAACAGTTGTGTAGAGATGTCAGTGATTTACATAGACATGAACTGTATTGGTAAAGTACCTTTGTAATTGATGATCCTACTCTAAATATTTCAGGATCAAGGAACTGGCCATCCAGCGCCGCACCAGACTGAATGAGGCCAACAAGATGCACCAATTCTTGAGGGACATTGACGATGAAGAAGCTTGGATCAAGTAATATCACTTAACATACAGAGATTATTTACTTGATATTTGTTTAGTAAAAAGAGAGCTACATTTTTTTTTTGGACATGATGAAATACTGAATTGATTTGTCTGTAGGGAGAAGAAGTTGTTGGTGGGATCTGATGACTACGGTAGAGAACTGACCAGTGTCCAGAATCTGAGGAAGAAACACAAGAGATTGGAAGCTGAGCTGACTACTCATGAACCTGCCATACAGGTAAGATAATTTCTCAGTGTTTCAGTATTTGTGTACAGTTTTCTACAGACATTGTTATGATACTTATATTGCTATTTTGTATGATTTTGAGTGATAAGGATATTCTGTGTTTGCAGGCTGTACAGGAGACTGGAGCTAAGATTATTGAGGACTCTGACATCAACACGGCTGATATCACAGAGAGACTGAAACAGCTAGCTGACAGCTGGGAGGAGCTCAAAGAAATGACTGCCAACAGGTACAAAAGAATTGATACTTTAAAGATAAATTACCATTTATTGCAGCCTTTAATTTTTGTCATAAATATCTTGATTACTTGTACAAATGTTGGATTCTTCTGGAAAAGTTTTGTTAGTATATGAAAAATGAAAAGAAAATAATAAAACTTGTGAAAAGAAGAAGGGGTAAAAACTGCCTAGATGTATAATGGCTGTGCTCTGTTACAGAGGTCAGAAGTTGGAGGAGTCCTATGCTTACCAACAGTTCAGTGCTAATGTGGAAGAGGAGGAGGCCTGGATAGCAGAGAAGCAGCACCTGCTGAGTGGTGGTGACTACGGAGACACGATGGCCGCCGTCCAGGGGCTGCTGAAGAAACACGAGGTGTTCGAGACCGACTTCCACATCCACAAGGAGAGGTGTAACGAGATCAAGAAGGAGGGAGAGAAACTCATAGCAGAGGTCAGATACTTCTCTTCACACCATAATGATTATTATCTCTTTTTATAAGAATTGACAAAGTTTATGAAGTTTATAAATTACCAAATAAAAATTTCATTGCTTGCTTTGAATCTAGTGCAAGGAATGGATCAAAAGTCTTCAAAGCAGTTTTTTTTCTGTTCTTTAGGGAAACCACAACAAAGATAGCATTGAACAAAGGATTAAGGGCCTGCAGGAAAAACTGGATGCATTGAATGATGCTGCCAAGAGGCGACAGGATGGCCTGGTGGATAATTCCGCCTTCCTACAGTTCCTGTGGAAGACGGATGTGGTGGAGAGCTGGATTGCAGATAAAGAGACTCAAGTCAGGTCCGAGGATTACGGGCGGGATCTGTCATCAGTACAGACACTGCTCACAAAACAGGTAACCATAAATGAACTATTGTGAGAAATACAGCATATTATAAGTACATGTAAATGCTCTACCCTTAAAATCTATAGAGATGTTGCAAATAAAAAGTCAGAATACATGTAATTGCTGGAATAAAAGTATGTACATCCTACGATTTGGAAAAAGTCCAATTAAAGTAAGTCTAATTGCATGTTTTTGTATCACATAGGAAACTTTCGATGCTGGTCTTCAAGCTTTCGAGAAGGAGGGTATCCAGACCATTACTTCCCTTAAAGATCAGCTGATCCAAGCCCAACATGCCCAGACCCCAGCCATCCAGAAACGTTACAACGACGTAATGGAGCGCTGGCAGAAACTTCTCAACGACTCAGACGGAAGAAAACAGCGACTGCTGCGCCTTCAGGATAAATACAGACAGATTGAGGATTTGTATCTGACTTTCGCCAAGAAGGCATCAGCATTTAACAGCTGGTTTGAGAATGCAGAGGAAGATTTAACTGATACTGTGAGGTGTAATTCAGTGGAAGAAATAAAGGTAATTCTAGCAATATCTTCATCCCCTACAGTAAAACTTGCTTATAACGAAGTCAATAGGACCTATGAAATTAATTCGCTATATCTTAATTTGTTATATCCATATAAGGAATTTGTTAAATTTATATGGCTGGCGATCCAAAATAACTTCGTTATATCCATGAATTCGCAATATCCGTGTTCGCACTAAACAAGTTTTGGTGTACTTTGTTCTATGATTTCATCGTTAGTTTAAACATAAATAGATGATAAAGGAACCTTTTCTCTGCATTACTTTTCATTTATACAAATCTTGAGACTTCATGACATGGTATACATTGTTTTGAAAATAAACTGGTCTAACTGCAGGTATGCATATTTGGAGAAGAAATTTGGGTTTACTAATAATAAATCTTTTTACAGTACCTGAGGGAGAACCACGACCAGTTTAAGGCGTCCCTGAGTGCGGCTCAGGCAGACTTTAATCAGCTGGCTGCCCTTGACAAACAGATTCAGAGCTTCCAGGTGGGCACTAACCCCTACACCTGGTTCACCATGGAGGCCCTGGAGGACACATGGAAAAACCTACAGAGGATCATCAAGGTAAGAAAATCTACCTACTGCTGAAATACAAGTGTACAATGTGATACAGAATGCATGTGGTTTAACAGGAATTGATTGTTGTGTACTGTGAGGAAGAAGTTGTAGAATGTAATGTGTTGTTTGAATGTTGTAGGAGAGGGACGTAGAATTGAGCCGAGAACAACAGAGACAGGAGGAGAACGATCAGCTGAGGAAGCAGTTCGCTCAGGCCGCTAACGCCTTCCACACCTGGCTCACAGAAACTAGGTCAGTACAGGTGTTACACTACACTTATAATACAGGTGTAAGGCTATGAATGAGAAACAGAATAATATTTTGTTTTGTCTCATACGTTTAAAAATGTTTCATTTTATGAAAAAAAATATACCGTACATGTAATAATACTCTTCACAAATATGATGTTATTTTTATGTTTCTTGTATTTTGGGGAGAATTCTGTGTAACAAAATATGTACTTTTTCTTTCCATGTACCTGTATTTGACACTGTCACTACTTCACCATTCAGAATGTGGCTGTTGGAAGGGTTATTATTTATCTATTTCAGCATGTCTTGTTCCCAATGCTGTTTGCTCTGAAAGTCCCAAATGTTGCTATGACACACAGTGATCATATATAGTCAACTGTATTGTTTCTTAACTACTGCAAAAAGAGAATGAATGCTGTGTTAACATATTGTTCATAGGCTTTCCTTCAACAAAAAAGTTAATATTTTGAACATGAAAAATAGAATTTAAAAGCATGATATTTTTGAAAATTTCCAAAGAGAGCTGAAAAAAAGATTTTTCTGGCCCTGATTTTGTTGTGTACCAAGTAGTAAAATTTTCCTTTAACAGTGATATATTAACATGCCTGCAAAAGATGAGCTCTGATGACTGCATTGTGGCAACATTCAAACATGTGTTTCAGGTCCTTTGTTAAAATAGCAGTTAAAATGGACTTCTTTTGTTTTCAGTACATGTTTGTCATAGTTTTACTAACAATCTAAACAACTGCTGGAATTTGAGGACTAGCATTGTGGTCCATTGTCAAATTTACAGATATAGAGTATGAATACAATCCTAACACCACTTACAAAAGCTGACCCACCCACTGAAATAGCATTTAGACAGATATACACACATTTTCTATCGCAAGTTTAAATGATGTTAATGCGCATATATTTCATATATTTTCAAGCATTTAATTAAGGGAACTTAGAAACTTAAACAAAAAACAAAACTGATAGAAATGACTGTTCACTAATTTCTACTTGTCAATTACAGAGCTGCCATGATGGAGGGATCTGGAACACTAGAAGATCAGCTGGAGGCCACCAAGGTATTGTACATGTTTAAATCAATTCTTATTTAAAAGCTTAGATTGTGGAGCAAGAACTTGATAATTTTTTTCTGTGTTCAGCAAAAGGCTCAAGAAGTCAGGTCCCAGAAGGGTCAGCTGAAGAAGATAGAAGACCTTGGTGCTGCTATGGAGGAACGTCTCATTCTGGATAACAGGTATACACTGATTAAATCTACTGGCAATTCCCCCATTTAGACATTAATCACTCTATGAAGAAAGTAAAGAATTCCTGTGTGATACACAAACTTCATCACTGATTACCTATTTGTCTGTCATTGTAGGTACACTGAGCACAGCACAGTGGGATTAGCTCAGCAGTGGGATCAACTGGATCAGTTGGGAATGAGGATGCAGCACAATCTAGAGCAACAGATCCAGGCCAGGAACCGCAGCGGTGTGTCCGAGGATGCACTCCGAGAGTTCTCCATGATGTTCAAGTAAGTGTTATGATAACAACTTGGTTTATTTCTAAATCATAAAATTACCTGCATGAATATTAAAAGCAAATCTTTTGTCTTAATGGGATCAATCTGTATTTGTAGTGGTTTATTTGCATGTATGACTTTTCAAAATAGAAAAATAAGAATCTTTATATTAGAAGCTAACATAATATTTTTTATGGAAGTGCAATTTGTGAAATGCTGTGTTTGTATTGAAAGTATAACACTGAAACGTTATTTTAACAGGCACTTTGACAAGGACAAGTCTGGTAAACTGGACCATCAGGAGTTTAAATCGTGTCTGCGAGCCCTGGGGTATGACCTCCCTGTAGTGGAGGAGGGACAGGTGGACCCAGAGTTCCAGGCCATCCTGGACATGGTGGATCCCAACAGGTAAACTATACACCAAATATTCTATTTATAGAAGAAGTACTAGTAAACAGCTCAAATTCTATTCTTATAAGAAATTCCAGTAAACAGCACAAATCTTGTTTATAGAAGAAGTACTAGCAAACAGCTCAAATTCTTTTATATCATCAGAACATGTGCAAGTGGCTGCACTGTGAAGAATGGAATGATAAACAATAGACTGAGTCATTGAAGGATTACCTATAAAGGACTTTCAATTATTGACAATGTAATCTTTAAGTTGTTGTTCTGTGCATGATTCATGCAGTTCTAAACGTTTCTCTGACAGGGATGGACATGTGTCCTTACAAGAGTATATGGCTTTTATGATAAGTCGGGAGACAGAGAATGTTCAGTCCAGCTCTGATGTGGAACAAGCCTTCCGAGCTCTTACTTCTGGAGACAAACCATACATTACAGCACAGGAACTTTATGCGGTAAATATCACATAATGTTTATCTTGATTTATTTCAAATAAAATCCCTTTTTTGTGTGATATAATGTTAGATTCTTTTACAAGATTGCAAATGATATATAAAGAGAAAGGTTATGTTTTGTCAAAACAAGAATTTTATGAATGTTATAATAAAAAAATTACGATTTTGAATTAAGTTTCAACAAAATGTATTGTGTTGAATTTCAGAACCTGACAAAGGAGCAAGCGGACTACTGTATAGCCAGGATGAGGCCTTATATAGACAAGTCAGGGCGACAAATCCCAGACAGTTACGACTTTGTGGACTTCACCAAGTCCATGTTTGTCAATTAGCAGTTGTGAACTCTTTAGGTGCATTTAATCCCTCTCTTTTTACTACCCACTTTCCAACTTTGTTTAAGGTGGCTTATGTTGTGCGTTGGTTGCATAGCTTAAATGTAATAGACTTTGAATCTCCTAGTGATCATGGACCATTAACAAAAAAAATCTTATCATGTAAACAGAATAGCTTCAATAAAGATTTTCTTAAGATATAGAGTGTTTGTGTTGATATTTCCTCATCTTTTATTAGCTCATGATAGATTTCTTGCTTAAAAATAAGTATATTTTACATGTCACAAGTTGGCAAATTGCAAGTGTACAAATGACGCATGCATATAAGCATTTGCATTCACATTTTACAATTGTCAAGTTATGTTGGATGATTATGATGAACAAATTGTGAAAGAACAATTGCTATGTATTTATGTCCTTACTTGAAATCTTATTTTGATTTTTTCTTTTTCTGTTTAACATCAATATTCTTATTTTTATACCAGTCAAAAATGGCAATGTAAGTATAAAAGTAAAACAAATGCAAAGTTGGTGTTTAGAGATCTTTTATTTGACTTAAAATCCACATGTACATGTACCAAAACATTTTTTTTTTTCATGATGTAATAATGTCACTAGGCCACAAATAAATTTGGCATTCACATATACAATATCACTAAAAGGAAAGGCAACAGTAATAGAATGGAACATGTGGAAAGAAGTGATAATTTTTCACAAGATCTTGTATGAACAAGATTAAGAGCTTTGGATGGACGTGCCAGAACTGGGTATTTATACTTCTACCTTGTAAAAAGTTGTAAATAAAGTCTTCAAAGTTTCACATTCTGTTACAAGACTTAGATATAACTAGCTGTAGTTTTGTTTTGTTTTTAAATTAAATACCGGAATTTATTTTGACTTGGGGTAGATTTTTTCTATCCTTTATCTTCATCGCCAGAGACCAGAGACAAAACTTTGGCAGGGAAATGTGTGTGTCCTTTATCCTTTAGATGAGACAAAAGAAATACAAAGCTTGACATTTTCCAATGAGAAAAAGTCTAAAGCATAGTATGATCGTACAGTGTTGTATTTAAAATGCTTGAATTGTACAATTCAATTCAAGTATGCATTGTATTGCAAACGTCTCAGTTGGGCGGGAATCTCATATGAAATTTCCACAAAGCAGAAACAGTAAAATAATGGAAGACACGCATGTTCGTAAGGTTTCCTCAATTTTATTGCAGGAGTTTGTCAATTGTGCTGGTGCACGATAAGTAGTGATTTCTGTGTATTCTGGATTAGGCTGGCATTGACCATATTCTCCATCTGAAAATATTTCATACAGTATGCAATTAGGCTTTAAAAATCATGAAACTTTTATGTAGTAAGCCTGCTCTGCCTCTATACCTGTGGCAATGCCCGAACACACAAAGACAGTACCCCCTAAGGAGATTTGACACGTCTGATTCTGGACTGTGGTTTTATTACAATCTGAAAGATTTGATGCTGGAAGACCACTTTGGCATTTTCTGTATTCCTAAATAAAAAAAATTATGTTATTAACTAAAACTTGGTTTAAATGTTCAGTTTTGAAATACTTTTATTTGATTTAAAGTGAGATCGTTAATTTGTTCCAATTTTACGGAGAAAAGTGATCACAAGTAAATTCAATTTTTTTCAGAGGTTTAGAAAGTTTGGGTCAGTTAAGTAGTTTACAGTTAGAGTGAGCATGTATAGCTTACTGTTATATTCTGGTATTCACAAAACCTCCCAGAAAAATCAGGGAGACATGAACATTTGGCGTCAGCCGCTAAAATGTCAGGGCCACAATTAATTGTCCCTCCGTTTAAACAAGGACCACTATAATCCACACTGTAGTCTTTACACTGCTCACCTGTAATGAAGAAAGTTTTCATTGTCCAATATAGTAAATATGAACAATGAAGATGAATATTTCTCAGTAAATTGTTCCAGTTTGCAATAAAACATGGCCGACTTCTAGACTTTCTGTTACAAAATCATGAACTGAAAATATTACACTTCAATTTGTAAAACTTACTTTGTTTAGATGACTTAAATTGGTTTCTCTATAGTGAGGCAAGGAAAAGTACGGAAGCATATTAGTCAAGGAAAAGGGCTAGAAAAGCTCAATTTAAATTGAAAAGGCCAAAATTAAAGTTAAAATAAAAAACAAATTTGAAGTTGGAAAAGCCAAACTTTAAAGTTGGAAAAGGCAAGATCAAAGCAGGAAAAGTCAAGTTTTTTTAATTTTGGGAAAAGCCAAGATTAAAGTTGGAATTGCCAATTTTAAAGTTGGAAAAAATCAACTTTTAAGTTGGAAAAGCCAAGATTAAAGTTGGAAATACCAATTTTAAAGTTGGAAAAATCTACTTTTAAGTTGAAAAAGCCAAGATTAAAGTTGGAATTACCAGCTTTGAAAAAAAAAATATTATGTGGCACTAATACGCTTCCGTGGAGACTATATAACAGTTAATTTTTTTTTAAGGGGAGAATTGTAAAACATATATATTTTCATTTGTATAACAAAGAGACTAACAATTCATATGTTTTATACTGTCCATCTGGTCATTATTCCTACACGCTGTATAATCGTGATATTCTTCATTAGCTACATGGTGGTAAGTGCAGACGCACTCAGGAAGTATAAAATCTCCACCACACCACAACTGATCCCGCCCTGTAAATAACAAATCTTATTTCTGAGGTGCTTGGACACAGGTTGATGTTAATATTTTCTCAAATTTTTGGTATAATGTCATGACTTATATATATTTCTCTAGCATTTTATATGGAAATATAATGAAAAGAACCTATTTTATCTGGAACACACAAGTGTATGATTCATGACGTGTTTGATCAATACATTTTTGCACGTTCACAATGTAAACTTGATCCTTTCAATAAGCCCTTTAAATGAAATAAAACTTCTTTTTTTTTCAATTTAACAATTTCAATTAAAGAAACATTTATTCTATATATACTTAGTGCAAATGCATTAGATTCCTTTTTGCCCCCTCCACCGATCTTCACTGAAAGTGTGGATATTAATTGCGATCCGTCCGTCAGTCTGTCCGTCTAGATGTATACACAATTATGTATTTCTATGTACATGTACCGTAACACTCGTTTCCGCGCGATATCACGAGAAGACTTTTGCAAAGAAAATGTCAAAGTAGTTCATGAATACATTCTCTCTGTGTGTATTTTAACTTCCACTTCTCAAAATCTCACAATTTAAGTTCTGCAATGATTTTATACGATTAATTTCTTTTTCTTTAAGCGACGGACATACATTCTCTGAATTCACTTGTAATGTTATATGAAAATTTCAAACTCAATATGGTAAATAAAATTCCTCTTATTATCTGACCTAAACTCTAAGTGTCATTGTAAGCAGAAAATATCTTGAAATTTTAGTGATAATTGCATCCCGATGCCTGGATCCCTTCCCTTTTACATTTTTATTCATATCGTACCTGCATTGTCAGGTCCTCTGCACAAATTTGTTTGTGTTCGGTTTGAGAGGAAATCTGGAACTGTATATAAAGAGGAAAGATTTTAATTTAAAGCTGTTTTATATGCTTTTAGTTTTATTGCTTTTACTCTTTATTATATCCTTATATATGTAACGAACATATATAGCATGATAGACCACAATTTGGTTACATGTGCAATCCTATCATATGGTATACTTGTATGAAGTGCATGTCTTTATAAATATGATATTAAGGAATCACTGTCTAGTTATTATAGTATGCCAGGGCATCAACGATAGTGGGTAACGTGGGATAATTCGCATAACAGGCAAAGACTGTTATGCATAAATTATCCCACGTTTTCAACTATCGTTGATGTCCCTGGCATACTATCCTAACTAGACAGTGATTCCTTATATTTCCATTTCATTGTGAAATAGAATTGTAGAATTATACTTTAAAAATGTAGACATAGGTTTAAATTACACGAAGAATCCCATGCCACTTTCAATAGTCCTCGTCCACTGACGTCAAACACAAAGGCAGACGCACGAGATTTACATGCATATTTGGCCTCCTTAGCGTCAGACACAGAGACAGATGCGCACGAGATTTGCATGCATATTAGGCCTCCTTAGCTCATGACCTATCGACCTTCCTAATTTACATTCCAGTAGAATTATCACGAAATCAACTCCGCTAATTTTCAAAGAGTTATCACAGGGGAAAAAAAATAAGAAATGGAAATATATATTTTAAACAAGAGGCCTACGGGCCTTATAGGTCACATGGGTATTATGTAACAACTTTCCAACAATTGAATTTGGTTCATGTTCTAAACCAGAGGCCATGAAATACAGTATAATTTACACTTAGCATGCTAACTCTCAGTGGTTACTTAATTGCTTTAAAAAAAGCATATACGCTTCATTTTACTATGATGTGCGGTATATTGCGCAATGGAAACCCCAGGCGACCTCCTTAATTGAAGAAAAAGTCAACGTAAAATTTAAGTTGATTACTTTTTAAGTAATTAACCCCATACTTGCCCAGCATACAGCATACTTAAATCGTGTTAACAATATTAACTTGTAAGTCAACATAAATTTCTCGCATGATGACATAAATAAGTTGTAGGTCTACATAAAATGATTTGGATGTTGACTTAAACAAGTAACCTGTCTTCATAGTTATCTCGCACGTTGACATATATAAGTAGCATGTTAACATATTTATGCTGCATCTTGAACGAATGTGTCAGATACTGACTGCTTTGAGGTAGAACGATATAGGTCCCCCTTAAGGAAATAGGACAAAAGTTTAACGACAGGTTATATAAAGATATAGGTACATTATACATTTAGACATAAATAGTTTGCATGTAAACATAATTATTTTATATGTTGACATGCTTTTCTAGCATGTAAATATAATTTGTCTTACATACAAGGGACAGAGATATGCCACAAACACCATGCCAGAAATTTAGGTCTATGATTCAACTATGTACATGCATGTATTGACATGTAACTTCTGCTGACATGCGTAATAAACAAGCCAACAAGCAATTCATTTATAAAATTAGCTGTAGAACCGTAGCGTTATTGGTTATGGTCAAAGACAAATATATAAAACCAAAACGCTACAGTTCTGCAGCTACTCATTTATGAGGACATGTCCATTAATAAGTATAAATATATAGATTTTAAATTATTGAAATTTAAAATAATATTAATTTTTACCTTTTGGGATTCGAACTTCCCCGCGGTATTGCACAATGTTACAAGGACTGGCTACAACATATGATAACAGTTACGTCAAGCCCGTTACCTCAAACACAGCAAACATGTTCATATAACATGTACGAGGGCTGTTCAATAAATAATGTCCTGAACTGTATGACATACAATACAGATATCATATGACATTAAACTTGACTTTCTCTCATTATTGAATCTTTACTGAATTTATAACAGTTTATGTGACCACTTTTCATCACATAGTTTCATCGTGAGAAGCTGGGAAACAAGGGCTATTCGAGACACTGCATTATAAATGAATGGTAAAGAATCAGTAAACTAGAATGAAAATAAAGGCTACATTAAAACTACTGTAAAACTTGTTAAAAATCCCAAAGAAATATTCACTGAAATATGTGTCATTTACAGCAACCGATGCCTGTTTTATAGACAAATGAGCAGTTGGATTTCAATGATAAAAAATTATATAATGAGCATCAAAAATATGTACCCTCCTTGCCAACAAAAATTATAACAACTTATGTACATGTACTGTTTGCCAAATTTCAACAAATTATATTTGATGATGTAAGATTGACTTTAAGACACATAGCAAATTTGATAAACATATCGGGAGTAATTTACACTGTTTTTAAGAAACGTTTGACAGTAAAAAAGCTTGGTACTCAAAGGTCACCCTATATTTTGAAAAATGAGTGAAAACGACAGCGTGTACGAAAGTCTTAACAATTATTTTAAAATATCAGCAATTGTAGTTATCCACGTTTGTTTTATATTTAAACAGATATTGGAACATGAATCTATTGCTTAAAATCATCAAAACAAAATTTACCATAAGATGTACTTGATAAAAACTGCGAAGGTCTGACAAAAGCAAAGGTAAGCAAGAGCACAAAGACAGATTTATATGCAATTTTCTTAGGTATAAGTAGTATTGTTGTTCAAATTCGTATTCAGGGAGACAGTTTAATATCTGTCGGAGTCTAGAGAGCAATTTTTTTGCAAAAAGATCGAAAGGTTTATTAGAGCAGGGACCCAGAATCAGGAATCCACTACACTGAATTTCTTCATGACAGCGTCCAAACCCGCATGCCCTGAAGAGTAAAACAATATTTGCCAGATCTTTGACCTTTTGACTTGTTTCTATTTCCAAACTTGAAAAAACACCTTTCAGAAGGAAAAAACAAGTCCAGAAAGTCATTGGATCTGCCATTTTCCAGTATACTAAGGGTCATACCGAAAAATAAGTTCTAAAAACAATCAGAAATTGGATAAAAAATGTTACAGACATGTGTTTGAATTAAAAGAGATTAATAAGTAAAACCATGAAGACTAAATCATTGAAAAGCGTCGTTTGCTTCTTTCTGAGCACCGAGGACATTATTTATTGAACAGCCCTCGTATATTGTTTTCAATCATTCAAACTTATACATACCCCAGGTACTCAAATGAGTGTGATAATTATCGAACAATTCCTAGCTCTCTGATTATAACTGAGCAAAAATTATTGAAAAGACAAGCATTCACGTGACCACCCAGGTCAAATGATGATCGAGGACTTCCAAAATGATACTAGTTCTTATATACATGTATATACCGGTATATATGAAATGAAAATGTTCATTATAAGGTAGTCTCAATACTATTTTCTGATACAGTTCTGTTAAATCACAATTTGGAGAATTTCCTCTTTTCTGGAGCTAGTCAATGTAGACCTGACATTTCCTAGATTGTATCAGTTGACGAAGCGATTTTGGGGAATGATTTGGTTATAAGGATAATGTAGCAACCCGCACAGTACCTTAACGGCACAATTGTCATAAACTATAGTTCATCGTTCGGGCACAGTGAATTTTGACCCCATCGGGTATAAAATCATGCTATAGACCCTAAAACTGCAGTGTAGCAACCTCTAATGATAAAACGCCGCTTAATGATACAAATAGCATTAAGCGTTGCATTTGAAAGAAATAGTTTACAATCATATTTTATTAAGTTGTCATGTTCTAAATCTTGAACATAATACGTGACTGAGAGTAAATACAACATGACAACAGCTGTCGTGTTTTATATTTTATATTTACCTGTACTCCCAAATTCCTAAGGCCTTTCCGACTAGCAGAAAAAGCAACCTATTATTAGACACCATTACAACCCTCAACCCCAATTTTCACAAACTTTTAAATAAATGTTGGAAGACTTCTTATGTGTGGAGTTTACTGAATATCTTTATTGAATTAAAGATATTACCTAAAATTTACCACAGAATAAACAGGAAGATGTATAAATTGAAATGGTGATGTCAATACATCCGACCTCTGACGGAAAGACCCGAGAAGATTCGATTGAAAGAAATAGCTATAATTGAGCTTAACCCGATGAAAATTAAATGATCCCGACTGGAAATACATTCAACAATTTTAATTTCACAATAAAAAAAAAGACTATTTGGTTGCAATATGTTTACAAACAATTTTAACTTATTAAGCAAGTTAATTTCTCCTTGTGAACTGCATCAGAATGACAAACTTGCTGTTTCAATTTTAAGTTGATTTTATCGGGTTAATTTCATTCGACATTAGTGCAAACTTTAGCTTTAGAATTTTTCAACCATTTATAAATTTTATATCATTAAAGGTTGCAACTCAACGCTTAATGATACAATAGTGTGTATCATTAAGCGTCGAATATGTCGATATTTGCTTGTTTCATTAAGCATCAATGTTGCTCTGCATTTGTGACGCTTAATGATATACATGTAATTCTATCATTAGGCGGCGATTTAGCATTAGCGGTTGAGAATGTCAGCTATTAATGCAATAATTTATGGCATTAGGCGTTGCAATTGCAACACTTAATGCTATTTGTATCATTAAGCGGCGTTTTATCATTAGAGGTTGCTACACTGCAGTTATATTAAAACATAACTACATGAATGAATAATGACTTGTCAGAAATAAGGGTTTAGTGTATGGAAGGTCCTTTATGATGATGCACACTTACATTGCCAAATATTCAAACTGTATTTGAAATGTATCCAACTCTTTAGCAATAACTATAATTTTTAAGATCCGTGATGCACCAAAAGGATTCGATATAGGTCAATGAATTGCACTTTATTCATAAAATATTTAAATGAACATACACAGCATAATGGTTCTTACATCAATTCAGCATTTGTTGTTCTATAATTTTTTTAATCTATAAAATAATCTAAAACATGTGTAAATACTATTAATCAAAACCTTATGATACGCTATGTAACTGATAAAAAAATATAAATGTAGGACATAATACATCAAAGACAAATGATTACATACATAGATTACATACCTTTATTATAAAACTGTTTTGGGTTTCCCAATGATAAACAGATCCATATCAGAAATACAAGCATGTCATTGGCATGTATTGACATGTTTGCACCTGAAACACTAAAAAAAAAGAGACATTTCATTTATAAAGGTTAAAAAGACTGAATGCAGTACATTTCCCTAATGCTTGCGATTTACTAAATAGTGAAAAAACTTTCTAAAAATTATGAAAATTATAATATCTTAAAGAGTAGGTTCTCTTAGTATATCTATATGAAATACTAGTAACTGTGTATACTTATAAATATCCATCCCCCATAGAAACAATTTTTATGCCACACTGATTGCTTTAAATCAAGTGCATCCATTGATTTTGTAGAATAACCAAACTTTTATATTGGGTGGATGGTTTAGTTTTATCAGTGTCCAGTTATACATGATAGTCTTGTGACACAGAATTACAGTCTTCCATTTCAACTGAACCTTTAGTGAATCACTGAATTGCTTTTCGACGTAAAAAATCCCCTTAAAATGAATAAAATATTGTTTTTATGCTTACATTTAAAAGGTACGTCCATTTATTTATTTAACTAGTCCATTAAAGAAACTAGCCTCACTGCTGAATTAATCATTGCAAAAACGAAAGTTCAACTTGAAAATTGATTTTGGACTTTTCAGTATACGTTTTATTGATAAATATATTCATGTACATTTAAATGTCCGTATTTTTTATTTAAAAAGCTATAATTAAAATGGCTCTTGATAGATATAACAGTTTAATGGCTACCACTCTGTACCCGTAAATTTCAAATATCTTGCACAAAGAAACAAACAAGAAAACATTGATGTTACCATCAATAGTCGCCCGGGAAATATATAAAGTAAACTATGGAAATGAGTCTTGATCATCAAACTGCTTCGATATGCGTGAAAAGGCATGGAGACGATAGTCGCGAATATTTGGAAAACTTATAGTCGGATAAATGTCAAACAAAAACGATATCATTTTAAACTTCAATTCCTCGAGTAAATGTTGGCTGCATAAAATATAAATTTTAGTTAGACACATGCATCACATATATTCAAAAATGTATTAATTTTCAATTATAGAATATAAAATACGAACTGTGCAGAGTACGTTTTTATGCGAGAAGTAAAATTCGATGTTCTTAAAAAAAGGGGGACCTGTCGTTTTTCCGATAGTAAATGATGAGCAACTTTAAATATTAAATATAAAAAACATATATATTTTTACAGATTCACATTATGGAAGTAAATATATTATGTATCTCGTAATCTATAAAGGGAAAAAACTTTCTGTTTAACCATCTTTTCAATGTTTAGAAAATCTTTAATATTGAATAACTACTCCCTCCTCAATCCCCATATACCAACACTTAAACTTATATGTATAGAGCAGCCCGGTCCTCCGGGCTGCAATTACTGCTCTCCAAGAGTCATTTTTTTGACAGACTTTGTGAAATTGCAATGAACTTAAATATCAAAGGAAACAGGTGTTTATAAGTACATGTAGTAAATGAATAAAACTGAGACCACCTATTGAACTAAAAATTAATACATTTTTACTCCACAGAAACAGTTTTACTATTAAAACTGTTTATCTAATGTCCTTGCAAGTGAATGCAATATGACGTAATGAATTCCGTCATTTTCTTAATGCTAAAAATTTCTTCTAAAATGACCAAACTGTTTGCTGATTTTCAATAGAGAAGAACCTAGGATCTAAAATATTAATCATATAATGGTAGAACTGTTCATAAAATTTGGATAAAAACTTACGACTTTTCAACTTTATACACAACAATAATCCCCTCGACAAATTAAAATCCAGGCTTTTTTATATCATTGACAGCTGCCTCTTCAATAAAAATGGAACTCGTAAATTTACTTACCTCGTCATTGGTCATTTGCAAAATTATTTTGTTAAAACAGATTCTGATTGCACGCATAAGTACTCCAAAGTTGACATTAAGAAGATGCTTGAGTTTCTGATTGACAATATCTATGTGGTTTTTGGAGACCAGGTATTCCAACAATCTATTGGAATACCCATGGGTACAAATTGCGCTCCGTTATTAGCAGACTTATTTTTATATTCACATGAAGCAGAATTTATGCAAAATCTTATGCATGAAAAGAGGAAAACACTTGCTGTGGCCTTCAACTCGACATTTAGATATATCGACGACGTATTGTCAATTAATAATGGTAATTTCCATTCCTACATCGATTCGATATATCCTGGTGAGCTTGAGATAAAAGAAACCACAGAGTCCGACGCTTCTGTTTCATACTTGGATATTTTACTTGAAAAAGACACTAATGGTAATCTAACAACCAAGCTATATGATAAACGTGATGACTTTAACTTTTCTATCGTCAACTTCCCTTATTTATGCAGCAATATACCTTCATCACCTGCATACGGAGTATATATATATATATATATCTCAGTTGATTCGATACGCAAGAGCATGCTCTACGTATGAACATTTTCTAAAACGAGGTAAATTATTGACAAGCAAGTTGATGAAACAAGAATATCAACAGTCTCGTTTAAAGTCATCATTTCGTAAGTTCTATGGTCGATACAATGACCTTGTCAGCAAATACAATTCATCATTGAGTCAAATGCTGACTGACGTTTTTCATACCATTTGTTAGTCCTTTATTTATACACTGAATTGAATTGACGACGGATTTTTTCCGTTATTTCCTGATCATGACAAGGAGCACACGGCGGGTGTGACCGGTCGGCAGGGGATGCTCACTCATGTCCGTGTTTGCTCTACTCTTATTTTGTATTGTTTTATGGACTTTGAGATTGAAAACTGTTCGTTATCTCCATATCCTTCTTTGGTCATCGACAAAATGTCTGTTAAAAATCACGGATTTTACACACAAGCAAGTTGATGGATACTGAAGTTTCCCATTTACAATATTTATGCAATTCAACATTTATAAATTAGTTCTATTGTCGATACAATGACCTTGTCAGCAAATAAAATTTATCATTGAGTCAAAAGCTGACTGACGTTTTTCATACTAATTGTTAGTCCATTACTAGTATTTATACACTGAATTGACGACAGATTTTTTCGTTATTTCCCGATCATAACAAGGAGCACACGGCGAGTGTGACCGGTCAGCAGGGGATGCTCACTCCTCCATGGCACCTGATCCCACCTCTGATGTTTTGGAGGTCCGTGTTTTCTGTGCTCCTATTTTGTAGTTTTATGGACTTTGATATTGAATACTGTTCGTTATCTCCATATCCTTCATGCACATGTATATCGACGATGTATTATTATAAGTAAGCAATAGTTATAGTACTGTCATTTATATAAAAATTCGATATATCCATTGAACTTAAAATAAAATTCTCCACAGTCTCTACTACATCTGCAGTAATTATTAGAATTTACAATCCACGGAACCAAAAAAAACAAAAACAACAAAAAATTTTGGCAAAATCATTTTTAAACAAAGATGAGCAATATTTATATTCTCATGGTTACAATACATAAAATAGTTTTAAACTTGACTTTATGCCTTGACTTATTCAGAATCATTGTAAAAAGAAAAGTTAAAACATAATTTTTAAAAAAAAGTGTTATTATAACGTTATTTATTATATGATAGAATAATTTCCATCTCTCTGATTGGCTGAGATCCAACTATGTTAGAAAAATATTACGTTGTATTGACCTGCACGTGACGTTCCAGGTCAATACAAGGATTTATTTCCTCTACATTGATCTAAAAATAGATTGGGAAATTCCAAATTGATACAAATTGTTCTGGAAAGCTATTTAAACGACTGATTTTTATTTTCATGTGAGCAAAACATAAGCGAATATATATTTTAGGTGAAGGGGGTAAGAGGGGATGCAGGACCCCCCCCCCCCCCCAACACTTTTACTGAACTTTTTTTTTTACTTTTTGGCAGTCACTTTTCCCTGATAATACAACTTCCTTTCAAAATCTATCCTATATAAAAAAGACTGACATTATATATTTCTTTCATGGCAACTAAAATTGATTAAAAAAAGCATTTCAAATTGATACGACTAGTAAGGTTTATTCACATTTTAATTCTGCTTCTCTCTTGTATTTGGCTATAGGACTTAATAAAATGCAAACAAGTAATGAGCTGTATCATTTTATCAGTGAATCATATAATAAAACAATTATTGCTGTTTTTTCGGTCAATACAATGATTTTGCCATCTTCGAAGTACAATATTCACCTCGCCCTTCGGGCTCGATGAATATTGTACTCCTCAGATGGCTAAATCATTGTATTGACCTCAAAAACCAGCAATAATTGTATAATATTAAAAAAATAAAGTGTTATTATAACGTTATATTTTTTTACTTTTAAGGACACAAACATTGTAAGCGATTGGGTCAACAAGATTTATAACATATTAATTTTCTTGCACTTTTGACCTTAGATCTTGCAAGTATTTAAGGCAAAAATGAAAAACATAGCTTACATCAAAACAAGTTATGTTTGTCAGTGAAATTTTTTTTGGAATTAAGGTCTTTCGTTTCCAACGGAAGACCTTCTACTGATTCTGTTGGTAAAGATTATTATTCTTTTTTTTTTCTTCTACTTCCTAGACGCTAACTTTGAAGCCTCATAACTCACTCATTTCTCAATGGATTTCTCTCAAATTTTCAGAGTTAATAGACGTTACTAAACTCTATCGAAATGCTGTCTAACATTTCAAAAAGTCACTTCCGGTTTTGAGTTATTTCCCTTTAAACGAAAATTTATAGGCTTTCGTTTCCAGACAAAGGCTCAGAGACGGCCAAAGCTGGAGCAGAAAGAACAAGGTTCACTTTTGCCTTATTTGTCCCTGTGAATTTCTGAAAAACTGAAACTGCATAGTTTTACTTAACAATGCATTAAATATCACTTAGATGTTTGGTGAATGCGTATCTATAAAAAATGACGTCATTTTCTGGCTAGTCAATGTATTATGACGTCACGAAATGCGTCAATTTCCTCATATTCTGAAAAAGTCTACAAAAACGGCCAATTTTTAAAGCTATTTTTTGATATTTAATATAGAGCGCAACCTCTGATCTAAAATATGCAACTAGTAAATGATAGAACTGTTTCTGAGGATTAATGGGCATGTTTTATTTTTTAGATCAGAGAGTGCGCTCATATCATTTTTCTTCACTGAAAGTACTCAATTATACCTGTTTATCTAAAAATTCAAGAACATTGTAATTTCATAAAGCCAGTTCTCCTAGACCTGGACTTTTAGGAGAAAAATTTTAATAGGGTATGAAAGCACCAAGTCTCTATTTTATTTAAATGCTTCAATCAGAAAATCAAGTGTTGATCATTTAATTGGTACATCTACAGGGCCATTTTATGCACAAAGTGAACCGACTTCTTTTACTGATTTTAGATAATAGAAGGATTGAAGTTGTGCACATCGGTTTTTGTTTTTCGATTTCTCTATTCAAAATGGCGCTATATAGGGGTCAAAAATTAGGACGCCTAAAAGAGCAAAAAATTACTCATATTTTGCTTTTTATCTTCTAAACTAAAAATATTTTGTTACAACATGTAGAACATAATTTGTGCAGAATTTGAAGATCTTTGAAATGATATCTCAAA